TAATAATAATAATAATAATACCTGGCATGTATATACAGTAACACTTCACATCCCATTTCACATCCCATAGCACTTCACATACAGTATATAAGGGAGCCCATTTCATCCACTACTGAAGTACTACACCTATCTGGGCCATGTACAGCAGTCATTTTGTGTCCACAGTCACACTGCACAGTGGATCAGGCGGAGAGAAGTGAGAAATAACTTTAGCATCTCAATGAAAGAGGAAATTTAGGTAGGTTAAGCTGTGTGAGCTGAGGGTGGGGTTTAGCTTATGAACAGTACCTACAGTAGTTACAACCTAGGTTTAAATTCTCATTCAAAAGACACCATCGGCTACAGTGTCCCTGGTCACTTTACTGGAGCATTAATAATTGGGGCACACAGTGGTTTAAATTCTCCTCTTGCCCTACATATTAGGTATACATCTGTGACTGAAACAGGTTAATACAACAAAACTTCTTGCAAATATAAAGGTGCAAGAATTATAAATGTGCATTTTGGCAAGTCTAGAAAAATAAATGACTGACATATTTTTGGATGTGTTACCTCATAATTTCTAGTCCAGATCTAGTGGGTGCACCAACAAAAAGAAAATCAAACTACTAGCTTTTTTCAAAATAGAGAAAGAATTTAATTTTTACAAAATACTGAAATTGTAAAAATTCTTAATGGTTTGGAATTGCCATGTCAGTATGGTCTCTCCCACAGACACACCCAGAGCGTGAGAGGGCTTGGGGGAATGGCATTCTCTCACTGGGGTTGCTACAAGCCTGCAGGCACCCAGCAGGTCACAAGAATCCCTACTGGGCTGCACAATCCATAAGAACCAGCTCATCTGCAGAGCTTAACCTGCAGTCCAAACGAGCCCGATTGAGTTGCTCGGGAGCACAAAATATTCATTTTTTTATTTAATTTTTTTTAGGACTTTAGTAGACTTGTTCTTGAACCAAACAAAAACAAGGTAATTGAGCAAGAATTTTCAAAGTGCTGTATTTTCCTTTTTACAAAAATGCTTAATGTCCCTCTGGCAGAAACTAGGACCAAAAAATATAAACTTACCACCTGTAATATGTTTCTTTCCTTTCCAGTGCCCATCCTATTGTACAGGTAGGCTTGACACAGAACCCTTTGATGGCCATATCAATGAGGACACTTACGTAGGAATGTTTCTTCAACCGCTGTGCTACAGAGCCCTGAGTGGTTCCTTTATATTACCGTTGTGGATGGTGACTATGACCAGTTTAACATTATTAAAGCCCTTGGGCTCTTATTCACTCTTCCAGCTGAACAATGGTAAGAAGTACAGAGGTCAAGTGGCTCGTCCTGTGTGTCATGCTGTGTGCATCACTTTGATCAGCTGGTGTTCATATGTGCCCAGGAAAAGCTCTGTCAATCTTAAGGAAGCTTTCCTTTTGAATAACAGTGCTTGTGTAGGTCGGTAATGTAGATAAAATGAGGCAGCTCCAAGTGGAGAAATATTCTGTGATTTTTTCATTTGTATTTTGAAAAGGGGGCTTTCTGCAGTTCGGCCCCATCCTTTTCACTTCACTTTGATATATCATATCCATGGCATCGCCTAAAAAACACTCCAGAACAGATTGAGGATTGCTGTTCAAAATCGCTATCTGAACTCCATCTAATTCCACCTGATGCACAGCCTAATTGGTGGTCAGTGCAGGGGGCCTCTCTGAGCTTGTGGTCAGTAGGGCTTACTGATGCAACTGACTCAGAATCAATCTCAGTTTATTTTCCTTTGCAAATGATGTAGGTGCTGGACCTACTGTGGCAAAGACTGGCAATCGTCACTGTCCTAATTCACTGTCTCTTTCCAGATTGCAAGCAATAACACAGCAGGACACACTGGGGACACTATTATGGGTAATGTGTTTCACAGATGTCAGCCTACCATTGTCGATTGGATCATGGGCCTGCCTTTTCCAACAATTAGTCAAACAATTTCAATCTTTCAGAGAGTATTTTTCAGTTTAGCATTTTTGGGTGGCCCTACTGCTGAATCAGCAGGCTGCTGCCCAGCTGCGTTCAGGAGGCGTAGTGGTTAGTGCTGGTAATCTGCTCTCCACTCCTGTCTGAGAGGAGCCGGCTTGTCCGCTGTCTTACCCTGCATTTTCTGCCATCCACCGTCTCCTCCTCGAACTCCTCGCCCACGCGGAAGTTGATCTCAGTGGTGCGGACAGTGGTGGAGGTTTTGATGTAGAACTCCTCCCCGTTCTGCCTGATCTCCACATGGGGCTTGGAAGCAGCCGCCCCGGCCACCTTTCTCAGCATGGCATTCACGCCTAAGTGCGCAGAGCAGTCAGATTAATAACAAATAACCCAGAAGGGCTGAGGGTAAGAACTGCACATTCATCCGGACCTGCTTGCCAGCACCTCTCCCTTCTCCTGCCTCCCTTTCAGATGAGCAATCCCTATAACCCAGTGATTCTTCTCAAAAAACGATTTCTGTGTTTTTTATTGATTGGATTGCTATTACTTTCAAATGCAGAGCATCTCACAATAATGCTGCTCTGTAATAATAGATTGCAGAGATTTAATAATTTCATTAACATGCATTGTACATTGCAAGCAGGAAACATTGCACACAGCCTCTTTATGTTTTAAGTCTGTGGTGTTTTTGGGTGTTTTCTTTCCTGTATTTTCCATTTCTAAAGCCTAAAATTCATAAACAGTACTGTCCTGCTGGTTTGAATAACTGGAAAGCGTGTAACAGAAAGTGCTACTCTGCAGGACAAAGAATAATGAAGTCAACTTAAATGGGAAACATCGAGAAAGAACAGTTTGGATGCTGTCGAAAAGAGAAAAACTTGATTGCAGTTAACTAAACATGGTTCCTAAATTCTTTGAGAAACTCCAACGCCTGCCAGCTTTAAATAATTTAAAATGTATTGTAGATTTTAACTAGAGGAAACATTTGGTTTCTTTATGACAACCTATCAGTAAGAAAGACAAAAAAAAATATTAAACAAAATGAGACAATAAGTGCAAGGCTTAATTATTGTGGTGACAACTAAGGAGTCAGAGACATTTGATGCCTATACAAATAGAGGGGTTTTAAAACATGGAAGAAAAAAATCTGTGTCTAGTACAGAGTTGTTTTTAAAGTGGTTTAATGCCCATGGGAGCACTTAGGAAACCCACACTGAGTAGTGGAAAAGCATTTGAGGAATTTTTAAATTGCAGCCCATTTGAGATTGCAAATATTTGACTTTATTAACAATAAACTCAAATTGAACCACACTTGTTTGCTGGAGATGATTGCTTGCGCATTAGGGGAATCTCAGATGATCAGTGCTGCGTTCTCCTCTTGCCCTGTGACTCAACGAAGAGCGATGACTGGACCTTTACTGTTGTGCTCCCCAGTGAATGTCAAAAGCTTTGAGCCACCCCTGCACACTGAGACAGAGCAAAGTCCTCTGTCACACACCCTTCTCTACAGGCACATCTGCCATTCAGCTGCATTCAGCACCTCAGCCAAGATGGATACAATTACCATATTCCTTCACATAGCCGTATTAACATATTGCTTCATATCCACTTTTGCCGTGCATTATTTTATGGTGCATTATTTTTTATTTTTTTAAGTTTTACTTTTTTTACAGAAAGAAGAGTGGTGATTAACATCTTTTCACAATGTGACACTGATGCTCACATGTGTCCTTGTGCTGTGTCTTCACAGTGAAGAGTGATGCATCAACAAGGCACTACAGCATCAGGATGTATGAGTTCTCATTCGTGTGCCACAGTATGTATGACACGGTATGTTGTGAAACTGAGAGGTGGTGAAGCGCAGTTGCAGCACCTTCACATTATTTCATCTCTCATCGCTCCAGTCTTTCGTTAGACTCACATGCACAGAAAACTGATTCTGTGGAATGTCTGTCTTCTCTTTTCCTCTTAGAAAACAGCTTAAATGCAAAACATAAGAACATGGTTTAAGTTGGACCACAGTTGTTGTTTTTTGGCAAAGGAGGTACACAAAGCCTCTCACGGCTATCTGATTAAATCTGTTTCTTTAAGGCTTACGTTAGAAAATGGCAAAATATTTTTTCGGGCATCTAGCTTTGAGCTGAATTCTTTCCATTAATCATAATCATAAACAGCGTTAAGCTGGATCATCATTTCAAGATATTTGCTGTGTAAAGTACTTGAAAGCCATGGTTGTTTTATTTTATTGATTACGTCTATATTTGGTCACTACTTGGGCATTTCTATCACTAGGAAATAAGAAAACTGAAACGTTTTGTTTTGCTGAATAAAAGCTTGCTAGATATTCAATTCTCCATATATGTAACTATATTTACATATATGGAGAACTAATTTTCTCTTATGAATAACATTTTTTTAAAAGAACAGTTTGGACAACACCATCTATTGTCTCAGCAACATATAAATCAACAGTCGAACCTCTGACTAGTGCAGTCTCTCTGAAACTGCAGCCTGGTGAGTAATTGATGAAGAACCCCCTCAATAAAAAAGACATTATGCGGTTTTAAATCAAGCTAAAGAAACAATTGTATTCTTTTTTATGTTTTTTGTGCATTTTTTATTTGTTTTATCTGAACACATTTAAATGGATTAAGGTTTTTTGTTTCTGCTGGCACATCCTGAAAATCCCACACACCTATTTGTCTCAGTGCCCATTTTATGAATTAAGATTTCCATCGTAAATTCCTAAGTCTTCAACCTAAGATCTGGAAAAATATCTGTAAAGGTAATCCTAAGATGGATCTCACAGATATTATCTGCAGCCTGTTTAATTAAAGGCAAATATTTCCCATTAATCATTATTGTCTCCCGAATGACAACATATTGTTTGTTTTTGGGGAATCTTTAGCCTTGCTGGTCTAAGGTCTTATATAAACACATATATGTATACGAACATTTAATGGTTTTGTCCAAAAATAGACAATCAATCAATGAACAGAGGCTATGAATTACGAGACGTGCAACCTTAAGATGGATTTTACTGATGGGCTAAAAAAACCCGAAAGGCTTACCAAGTGCTTTCAGAAGTTCATCAAAATTCTCACTGTGCTTCATTTTCCAGGTCCCAGCAAAGTTGGGCATTTTTGTTTTTTGGAGCTGGTGGGGTTGTCTCTTGTCTCAAAGCTGTGAGGAAAGCGTCTGGTCTTGTGGGCTGATAGACAGAACCTGCTTCTTAGTGCTTGGTGCTCTGCTCTCTGCTCTTTCGCGCTCCCGGCTCTCTCACTGTCTCACCCCCCTGTCTCTGTCTTTCTCCCTCCCTCTCTCTGCTTCTGCTTCATCTGTGCCACTAGTTATAGCAACTGTCTTGGGTCTGAGTCACAAAGTTCCCTCCCCCCGAAAGCCCTATCCAATTATATAAACAAGGCCCCCGTTAAAGATGTAGCACAATGAGAGGGGCATGTGGAACCCAGATATGTCCTTGTGCTCTTTAACCCTTCCTGGCCATCACAGTTTCAATTCAAGCTTAGTAAATTTGTGTATTTTCTTAGCCTGAATCTGAGTCATAGCGGTAGCATTTCTATGAATCTCGCCTTGATTCACCAGGTCAGTGTAGTGTAACAGTCTCGTCTGATTCAGTCTAGCAGTGAAATGTGTTCAAAGGAAACTTGTATGTGGTGCCAAATAGACACACTCGCTGGTCTCTCATTCGGTTGTAGAAATGTGGAAGTATGTATCGAACACTGGTATCAGAGCTACTTATATATTTAAACCGCTTCCAAATACTGCACCACAAAAGCCTGTTCTGTAATAACCTGAGTGACATTATACTAATGATTGAATCTTCTTGAATTTGTATTTAAATCATAACTCCCCTTCAAATAGCTCCTACCTCAACTAATGACTTTCAGCTTTAATTTTGTAGCATACCAAAATTTAAAATATATTTTTTTTCAAATGTTTGAAAATGCTGGCAATATGCATTAACTTGTGCATTCACAGGTAACCAGCCTATAGAATCTGCAATGTAATAAACACCACCCCAGACACTAAATTTCATGAATATTTTAACATATTTTCTGTGTCCTTTTAAAATATGTGCAGTGGTTTTTCTCAAAGTAATACATTGTGTATGTATTTACAACATATTTATAAAGTTGGGTCTAAATTTAATTTTAATTTTAATTTAATTGACACAATGGAAGTGAAAGAGGAGATGAAAGAGAATGTATGATCTGTGTGTATTTGGACAAGTAAGTGAAAACATGAAAACTGTGAGAATAATACAGTTTTATTAATATTTGGGTCATGTCAAATTCTAAATCTAACAAAACTGGTTACACATTTTTCAAAGTCCACAATATTCAAATGTATTCATACTTTGTAAACTTGTCAAAATAAAATCCTGCAAAATGTAACACTGGACCAGGGGTCATCGGGTAGAAGCTCAAAGCTTCTGGATGATTTTAGAAGCTTCTGAGTCACCTTGATGGCCTTTAAAGGAGGCTACAAAGGCTACAAAGTATTATTAATCAACAAGCGGAGCATCAGAATATTCTCAAAGGTTTCAAGGAAACGATTATTGATCTCCAAAAGTCGGACACCTCCACATTTTATGAATTTAATTATACCCATTGCCAGTGTTTCATAGAAATCAACAGTGGTGAAGGCACCTTCCTGTTTAAAAGTTTGGTTATTATAAATCTTGCTCAGGTGAATTACAAATATTAAAATATTTTTAAAGAGTATCTGATAGTTTGGCTTCGGTTTCCTAAACCATGGTAGGCACACTTATTCATACAGTATATGGATGTCTGTAACCTGAGAAACAGGACAGAAAGGTGTGGAATCTTTTTGGGAGTTACCCAGTGCACATCCCCTTTAACTGGCATGTGGATGTATAAGCTTCATTACAGGCAATGTCATTGTGGTTTTCATGTGTGTATTTGTTCCAGAAGCTGAAGCCAGTTAATCTTACTGTTAGCACTACTCTTTAGATCTGGATATGTCTAAAAAAGTGAACATAAAAAAGTCTGCTAGTTAAAGATAATAGTGTGAGCTGGATGTTCTGCCCTGAACAAAGCTAAGATGTTTTTGTTTCAGGCTTCTCCCTTTTCTGAGCTGAAAAACAACACTCACTGCAGACTTGTGATTCCCTCTCAGAATTGCTGCTACCATATTAAAATACATTGATCAGTGTGCTTTAGAAACAACCCAAGGAAACAAGCTGGTGGCCAGAACCCATCATTTCTTTGTTAAATCTACTAGTCCTTTCAGCAGTTTCTTAACACGTGCAGTACATAGGGTATTGTCCAGTTAGAATAAATTGTCTCAATTGTTTGTGATGAGTCGAAAGCTGCTTCAAATAAATAGTTATACAAAATAAAAATAGTTCTTGAATAATGCATAGCTTTAGGGCACAGAGGGGTTTAAAGATTGGTACCATGCTGACCACCCCCTTGCTACGTTTCTGCAGGCTTTAGAGTTGATTACGAAAAGGCACAGACATACATTTTCTACATCATTACAGACGTGCTTGGTTGCGTATAAAATCCTGTTCCTAGACTGGTGATCTATATGGCTGTACTGAAGTGTCTGGAGGTGTCGAGCCAACTGAGATTCCTGTCCTGATCCATGGAAAGAAACCTCAGTGTCACCTGCCAACTCTAGGGCCTGGAACTGGAATCGTTCTCCTCCAGCACAGATATCACAGAGCACCACTCTTATGAGACAAGCAATTTTTGATAATTATGAACAACCTCATGCCAAATTTTGGAAAACTCAGTATTTCCCCACTAAACTGCTTTTCCTGTTGCATCAAGTTTGGGATTAATGTAAAATTGTAAGATTTTCAATTCCCTCCCAGATAGAACCCATGATTATCTAATTAAAAAAATGTCTATAGCTCATCTGCTTTTCATTAAATATGAGAAACTATTGGCATACGATGCTGCTTTACTTGTTGGCATTGCAAAATCCAAAAGAAAATTGTATTTTTAACAAATGGAGAACGGAGTGACTACCAGGTTTTTGTTGAATAACACGGGGCATTGTGCTCAAGTGTGGATTAATAAATTGTGACTGTAAAACAGAAAAGTTTAACAGGGCCCATGTTCTTTTCAATTGTTCATTATTTCATTTTAATTTTTTTGTAGGAATCTGAAAGACTTCCATTCATTTTTTGTAAGATTAATGATTCAGTCATTTGATTTTGCAAATGAAATGGCAAGGATTAAACAATCCTATTCAAAGGTTTGCCTCCTGAATGAAATTCATCAAAGCTTTTGCTTAAGGTTGATTAAGAGCTCTGTACAGTTTTACAGCAGTAGCGATGATTGGTGTCTGAAGACTGGCTTTGTGTGTTTTAATGGTGTAAATTGGACCTGTCTGGAAATAATTTTGGATTGTATCAGCCTTACCTCTATAGCCAGTGATGCTATCTTTCATTTATTGCAACAGGACACTTATAGAGTGTATCTTCCTTTTGTGTTTCATTCAGTGCAGAAAGACCAATTACTTTGCAACTAGAAGAATACTGAAAGAACAACGTTTTGTTCTGGGAGCCTTCTATTCCAAGGGGAAATTGAAACAGAAATTATAATGCTTCCATTCATTTCTTGCATTACAATTAAAGACATACCTGTACATACAAATATTATATTTAGTAATGATGAACAGCATGCATATATCATGACGTAGTTCAGGTGGGTAGGTGCATCAGCATGCATAGGCTGCAAAGGAACAAGTAATAGGTTTATTCCATGCATGTATTATTATTTCTTTCCACCTTACTGCTTATATCTGTAATCCATATCTAAAATAAGGTACAAATCTGTGTAATTATCTTACAGAACTTTATAACGCTGGTAACGTCCTGTGATGCTTCTAAATAATGTTTTGACGAAGCCATAAAACTACTCTTTTTCTATAAGTGTAAATTCACACAGTTTCGAGAGTGGCAAAAATGATTCTTAACATTTATTTCATATTTTTTAAATGCAGCTGCAGGAGAATTCTGAATAAGATTCATTGGGGTGGAATTGCTGGACCAAGCGATGAGCTGTTTCTTGGAAGGCGATTGAACCCCTGGATTAGACGTTTTTTTTCCAAAGCCTAATAATTGCAGCGATGTTTCACCATTAAGGCAACTGAGGAAATTGGAAGAGGAAGAACAGTGAGCAGAAAAGACTTGGCTGCTCGGGGAGCAGGCAGGGCTCAAATGTGCAATGCCTGCATTTCCTTTTCAATTGACAATCTCTGCCTTTTCCTTTCCAGCAGCTGAGAACCACTGTCAAGACTCTCCTCAGCAGCCTCCTGTCCATAATTCCATTCAGCTGGTTTTCAATGCATGGCTCACCATGTGGACCTATTCATTCTCCACCACATCTTCCCAAAAAGGCCTCCCCTGGAGAGAGGCTACTTTTGTTTATTAATTTCCCTCAGGCAAGATCGGCTCTCTCTTTTTTTTTTTTGATGGTCTTCATCAATCTCTGAAAACTGCCCTCAAGACAACAGGAGATAATTTATGTACAGATGGGGCTCGAAGCACTCTGTCATTGTCCTGTGGAAGTGACCAGTAATAGGAGACAAACTATTCCCTTGTGAACAGTGCTTGGCCATTTTAGGGCTCACCAGCCGTCTTCTGGACAATAAATTCTATTTCCTTTGCTCCACGGAGGGGGAAATGGCTGAAGTAAAAAGGCTCACTGATGAATTATTTTTTGGACATGAATAAATTATGGCAGAAGAAAGGAAATTAATGTAGATTTTCTTTTATCTCTACTTGTGGCTTCTTAGAGAGGAAACAATGCACTGCAGAGGTGTTTGGCTTTTCTTTGACTCACAGTCATGTACTGTGCAAAACTTCTTGGGTTATTTTTGGCATTTTGGCTTAGGAAAATGTTTAGTCCACTTACATGCTGTGATTCATCATAAACTGACCAGAGAGAGGTGCTTCTGTAGCAGGACAAGTGATAGGGAGAAACTTGTCAAAGTGCAAGGTGTACTGTAGGCCCAAATCATAAGTAATCTGGTTACTGTGCTTAATTATGGAGCAACATTTCAAAATGACTCAAACATTTTAAACCAAGTAAACGAAAAAATATAGTAGGCTGGATGTGGTAAATTATGTATCTCCCAGCACTCCAACATTTCCTATGTGATTCAAGGTTATAACTGGAATTACAAGAAATGCCCTTCCTGGTTTCAGCTTTAATCAGTGGTGGAAATTATTTATCACCACACAAAAACAGTTTACGAAATTGTTCACAAGTTCACAAGAACAACAGGAGGCAGGATTGAAGTACAGTTACAAGCTCACCCGTCCTGCTCTTTAAGATAGCTGTAACTATGCCCATTTCTGCCTTCATAAGTATCTTAGATTAAATTAGATTAAAAGTTTCTTATAAGGAGCAGAGCACCACAATCTTCTATGGCTTCTGATGAACATTGAAGATTCCAAGCCAGCATTCAGTAGATGTTGCTTCTTGAAAAAAAAACCCAACTCAAAATAAGATGTCTTCCTATTTGATTTCAAAACCTTGGCTTAGATTACAGAGAGAAACCCCAGCAATCCATACTGGGCTAATGGAGTACATCGATCATACACCCAGGCTGGCTTGAGGGCTGTGACCTGTGTCGCAGTGTTACCTGCAGAGTGGCCATGGCGTGTCTGTCACATCATTTCCCAAAGGCCATCCTGGCTGAAGGGCCACGTAAATGCTAACATCAAGGTTTGTTTTCTTCTAATTTTTGCAATAAATGTCCAACTGGCATTCCCACAGGGAATGCCCTGACTCTAACCTTTTCAGGCTCCAATAACTGAGCATGCGGATGAATGAAGTGTCTACCAATATTTAAAATACTCCCTGCTGTCTCCTCTCCTCCTGCTCATTCATCACTGCTGACCCCACGGAGGTCTGCTGGCAAAGGGGAGGTTACGGGGTTCAATAATGACCTCCATCCCTTCCTCCCCATCCCATACAACTTATGAGCCAAAAATCCCCGTAAAAAACACTTCTGTGTTTTTTATATGCAGATTCCCTTGTGGCAGGACTACATGTCTTGTTCCAAAAACAACTGAGCCGTCAGCTTTTGGAAACAACTGCATATTCTGCAGGAACTAAGAAGACACCAGAAAAACATGTACCTCTTTGTCCTCCAAATGCTGCAGTTTGCTAGTAAATGTTGTAGACCGTTCGATGTGGAAAAGAAACATAACTTCATCTGCAGTAACACAAGGTGTCTTTTCATTTTTTGTGGTGCTTCGGATGCACACGCAGTGATGAGCCAGCTTTGTACTTGTGCTTATTTCAGTGGCAAATGTTTGAGACATAGATCATTGGTAAGACTTTCTCTGGCTGTGGGACAGTGACAGCACTATTTAATCACAGCTGCACCTGACAAACACTTGTCACACAACATTGCCTCATTGTTTCAATAAATGTCACTGCACCGGGCACCTGACACAGACCAAATTAGATTAATATCACTTTGTTCCTTTATATGCCAGACTAGAAAACACATTAGCTCATTAGACCATTTCTCATGGAAGCCAAATGTCTATGTTCATGTGCCTTATTATCTTTTTTGCTGGATCCAGTGTCCAATGTTCTGTATCAGATGCTTGTAAGATGCTGTCTGTTTTAACAGAGGGACATTTCAAAAATAGCATATTGGGAAGAAAATAATAGTTTTGTATTATGAAGGCTTGTATTTGTCACTGAGCTCAATGTAAAACTTTTTTCCCCAAAAAAAAACAGTAGAATTCTTTGATAGTGATACTTAGACAATCTGACTTGCATAATTTAAACATGCATTCATCGCTTTCTAACTGCAAGAACAAGATCTTTCAGACCAATGGCAACGTCACAAGGGTAGAGGCTTCGTTATTGGCACAGAGACATTTTCAGAATCGTATTACTGTCTCTTGTGTGCGGCAGGTTTTGGTTTGGCAACCAATAACATGAATCAGGGATGGTCACTCTTTAATCCACAGGACAATAAGGACAAAAGGGTGAATGCATTTATTAATTTAAATAAAAATAAGAGGTTGACATTTACTTAACAGATGAGCCAAATGACGCACATGAAGAATTCAGAGGTTTTTCACAACGCAAGACACGACATTGACTTTTGATTCTGGAAAGCAAAAAACACTAATATTCCGAAACGATCCCCTGTGGAAACACGGACAGTGAATGAACACACCAAACTATTCTTCTGCCCGCAGAGTGGAAACACTGCCCGGACCCAGCGCTGACTGACTCGCTCCAGACAGGAAACCGACTCAACCCCTTTCTTCTTTTTCCTGTTCTCGCGGGCGCTCCGCCCTACCAGGAAATTCGAGTGCGAACCCCTGTCCCACAATTCCTAGCGCAAGGTTGTCATGGCGTTCTGCAGTTAAAAATTAGTTAAATGCATTATAGAGTGAATTTCAAAGAGACGTTGGGACAAAATAATAAAAAGGTGCGATTTTTCTATTACTAATGATTATCTGTTGAATTATATTGCATTTGTTGCTAACGAAATAGACTTGTTTGTTTCTGTTTTTACACATGTCTTCATACAATAGCCAGATTGTGTAGAGATGTTTTCCCGGGGCTCGTATAGAATTGTAGGAGATAGTCGTAAAACCTATAATTCTGTATGTTCTAAAGTTCGTTTAAAAAAGAACAAAATATATTTTGACTGGCATGTACCTGTAACTATGTGCACAATTATCCAATCAACAAAATTCTAAAATGAAACAGACGATATCCATATAATGGAGAGACTGTCATTTTTCTAGATTTTTTAAAGTTTTTTTAACGTAAAAATCTAATTTTTGGAGGCTTTTCTAACTTATATTTTCCCACTGGCAGCTTGAAAGGCCGATATTTGGAAGAACAGAAAATGAGTACGCAAGTAAGTTAAGTGAGCAGTTAATTATCTTCAACAGCAGTGACACGTTACAGGGATATTACATCTCTAATCAGGCACCATAGTGAAACACATTAAGGCTGCACATGTATCCTGTTAGTCTGACACCTGGTAAATTAATAGAACCAATGTAGCCTACAATGTAATCTTTACGTTTCCAAGATAGTTTCTGTGCAAAGGCACAGTATTTTGCAAACTCCCTGGCTGTTTGAGTTGGACACTTAATTGCAAATATTTCAGTTCAGTATCTTGCACCTTGAATTATTTAATTAATCTGTAGCTTACTCTAGTGTTTTAACTAACCTGATCCTGAAAGACATTCTTAGGTTTTATTCAACTGTATTTTTATCCCGGTACCCATCAGTCTGTTTATTTCCTGTTTGTTCTGGTTTTCAGTTTTGAACGTAAAAATCTAAAACTGAACAATATTCTCAGAATGGTGACTCACTGGAATGCCGTTTGTAACGGGAATTTTCACATACATTTAAATATAAATGGCTTCCTCTCCTACTTCCACAAAGCCAGAGCCAGGCCTTGTATTAGTCAACATTATAGTGATTGCAAAGTAAAGTGTGCAAAGGCGGTGTAATGTAAAATGTAATTAATCAGTATACAGGGAAAGACAGATTAAATTTTTTTTTTGCTTTGTCTTTTTAATTTCAGTACAGTATACTTTTCAAACAAGAGCATGGTAAGTCATGTAAATATGTTTTTTTTTCATTTTATTAAACTTGACATTAAACTTTTGTATTTTTATGTTGTGACCATTAGCCTTTTAAAGATGTCAAAAATGTTGGCTGCTGCTCCACCTACAAACTACAAGAAAAGCCTTCCTAACAAAGGGAATTCTGCTGGTTCAGTTATCTGTTCCAGACCAGTAAATCACTAAGACTTTAATTTCCAGACAGAGCAGTTTTGTCTGTGAAACTGTGGTATTCACCACCTGTACTCTTGAGTTGTCTATGGCGATAGGCTGTCATCTTAGACTATAAGACTGTAGGCATACAGACGATGCAGATTACAGGATTTGTGTGATGAATCTGTGTTGCTGATGCTCAACTGTAGCTCACGATGATGCAATATGGACTGCTGCCTGGGGGCGGAGTGAGAGGGATGGCTCTGAAACAATTGTGACCGGCTCTCTCGACGATCTAGTGAAAGTCTGGAAATGGTAATTCGTTTTAACCTTTAGGTTTTTCGTTATTTAGATGTGGAGCTTGAGTGTGTGCTACATTGTCGTCATTGTCTTCTTTCTTTCAGGTCTGACGAGAAGCTGGAGCTGCAGTGGACATTGGAAGGTCATCAGCTGGGGGTGGTGTCTGTGGATATCAGTCACAATGGGGCCATCGCAGCCTCCAGCTCTTTAGATGCCCACATACGACTCTGGGATCTTGAATCTGGCAAACAGATCAAATCAATGGACGCAGGGCCAGGTTTTGTATTGTTTCTAGTTTTTCACATACAGATTTCCTTGATCGGGCAAAGTTATATTTTTCATCAATCTATAAATGAAAAATGGTCGTGCCATTTGAAATTCTTAAAGCACACTTATTTTGCCTTCATGTAACATCAATCTGCATTCCTCTCCTAGGAGCTGGTGGTTAAAAATTTGTGTCTAAATTATTTATTATTCGTGTTTCTCGCATTACTTTTAAATTCAATAATGCTTCTGGGAATGCAGCTGACCATTAACAGCTAGCACAAGCTCCTAGAAGAAAGATGCAATTTCTTCTTCTTTGTGTTTTAGTTGATGCTTGGAGTGTGGCATTTTCACCTGACTCCAAATACATAGCCACAGGAAGTCATCTGGGAAAGGTCAATATATTTGGTGTGGAGAGTGGGAAGAAGGAATACTCCTTGGACACCAGAGGAAAATTCATTCTCAGTATTGCATATGTAAGATGCCTTTCATTTATCTTTTCTTACTTTCAATGTAAACTCTGTAGAAAAGGATTTTTTTAAAGTAATGCAGTGTTTTTTGGGAACAAATACTAGTTTCACACAATTTGAACAAAAATACAAGTGGCGCTACACCTGAAAAGTTGTTAAATTGTTCACTCTTTTGAGCAGGATCAAATTTTGCTTTCCTTGTTTATTGAAAACTGTGTGCAAACTCTAAACATTCTTCTTAATAAATTAATATTTGTAAAAATTGCAGTGTTTAGAAGAATAATATGCAAAAGCATGGCAGTTTCAATTGAAGAGTACTGAAGATCTATCAAATATAGATTCCCATGGGAATATGTGGCCTTTTATTTCCTTATAGCTTTGCTTGCACTTGTCCTGAAGCCAAATACATTTAGTAATATTTACTGTACTGATTTCAAAAACCAAATGCCGTACTACTCTATAATGATATCAACAAATTATACAATCCAACGATTTAATTACTTTTTTTTCTTTTAGAGCCCAGACAGAAAATATTTGGTCAGTGGGGCTATAGATGGAATCATAAATATTTTCGATATTGCAACAGGAAAACTCCTCCACACCTTGGAAGGTAATTAATACATCTGGTAAATATATTGTGTAAAGAAACTGTTATTGTAAGTGCATTTTATAGATGTTTTGTTTGTTTACAAATTCGAGAACCCATTATAATATAGTGGTCCATTTAAGGCCTTTAAAAAACTTGTGGATTTGCAGAAAAATTGTTGTTTTTTATTTATCTGTTATGGATATTAAAAAGTAATTGAACTTAGTGTCAAATAGTTTCTCTATTTAAGGAAAACTTGTTAGGGTTTTATAAGTGTTTTTGTAAAGATATAGCCAAATATTGGATAAATCAGTTAAACTGTAAACACCTGTTAGGCTATGTTATGCCCTTTGGTGTGACAGTCAAATTAGTGCTCTTAAAATGTTAATTTTTAGTTTTAGTTAACTGATTTTCTAAAAAATAGGCAATTAAATATTCACCGTAATTTGATGAAAAAGCAATTCAGCTCGAATAATTTACCCACAAAATCTTATTTAATTAAATTACTACTCTAAGCTTGATTGTACTGAAAAAAACTTACATAGCTGTTTTTAAACAGCTTATCATTTTTCATTCAAGTAGGTAATGCACCATATACAAACATAAATCATCACTAATTCTGCAGAACATTGTGCAGAGGACAGATTGAGTACAATGGTAGAATAATCAAAAATAGGAATTGAATGAAAATGTAGTATGAAACAATATATTTTCATTAATGTGTAGCCTGTACCGAATCATTCAGTGTGATTTAATATACATTTTAAGTCTATGCTTTTAATTTATTAAAAACTTACTATCCAAGTGCTCACAGTTTTTTTATAGATGACCCAGTATTCTGCAAACACCGAGAATATTAGTGAGAAGTCATTGACACTCTACCAAATAACCTTTGACATTTTTTACCTTTATTCTTTAATATGGTACAGGAACTTCTCTTCAGTTAATTCTTCCCTTACCATTATCCCCCGTTTTCCCCTCTCATATTTTGCAAATATAATCCATTCACGAGAAGTAGATAATTTACTTAATATGGAGATGACTGCTTTTTATTTAGTTTAGAGTTGTTTATAATGTATGGTATCTCTTTGTATATCAATGTTAAGCACAGCTGAGGTCAGAGTTATCTTAGGATAAAGTGATCCAAACCTCAATGTCTCATTTCAGAAGTGTAGAATAATGTATTTGAACTTTTCTTTAGGTCATGCTATGCCTATTAGATCCTTGACATTCTCGCCAGATTCTCAGCTCTTAGTAACAGCTTCAGATGATGGTTATATCAAGATTTATGATGTGTAAGTACGACTTTTGAATTGCAAGAATTATACTTATGAATAGTGTGGTTTCAGGTTATTAACTTTGCAATTTTACCTGTCACAGCAATCAGTGCTGTTTCAATATACAGATGATCTCACATTTTCACAGTAAGCTGCATGCAATATATTAAAAATGAAAAGCTTTTTTCCCCCGTTTCTCAGCTGTACTCAATTATATAAGTGCAACCTATCTTCTTACTGAACCAGTCTGCTTCCAAATCCTTAAAATTAAATGATAGCTTATCTTGGGACTGTATGTTTGAGACTGTTTGTCTCAAGATGACTATAAACCAAACCATTGGTGCTTTAAGATTTAGCTAAGCAAAAGTGGAAATAATGCACCGCAGAAGCAGAATGTATTTTTTCTTGCAAAATTTGCTTGAACAGATCAATGGTGTACTTTCTAAATTTTACAGGCAGCATGCCAGCCTTGCAGGGACACTGAGTGGCCATGGTTCTTGGGTATTAAATGTTGCTTTTTGTCCAGATGACACCCACTTTGTTTCCAGGTAGGATATGTTATCACTATATTGAAATGCTGCCAGTGCAAGATGGACAAAAGTAACTCTCTGCAGTACAGTATATAGGAGCTTCGATTTTGTTAATGGTCAATGGGCTTTTCAGAAGAAAAATAAATATGTTCTTGGAAACAATTTTGACTTTCATTGTTTACTTTACCCATAGAGTTATGTAGTTAATTGAATTTACTAAGTAAATAACTCACTTTGAAGTTATGAACTTCTTACCCTCAACTTTGATTTATCTAAAGGAACCAAAAGGAGGGCACTTCTTAGCCTTGGATGTCACTGCATTCTTTCTCCTCACCACAGGATCAGTGAGGATATGAGTTACTGTGGTATTGAATTAAAGCAGTCAATTAAATTATAATTAGCTGAAAATTAATTCATCATGGGTGCAGGGGGGGAGAGTGTACATAAACGCAATGCCACAGGAGGCTAGATGCCTGCCCAGAGTTTGATCCTATTGCAAAGTTTTTTTTCCTGTTGTGATCTCATTCTCAACTAATATTTCTGTGAAAAACCGTAAAGTTTAAAAGCTTCTCTCTTATGTAGTTCAGCCAGGTTATGTAGAGCGTAGCTGTAGAGAGACAAGGCCTTTGTTGTGTTTTAAACAGAACAATGGGCTGTGAAATGCAAGAGCAAACATGGACAAAAGGAGCTAAAATATATTGTAAATGCTTTACTTTTTTTATTCCCTTGCAATATTTGCAATGTGGATGGCTATAGATCTTTAAAAGTCTTTAAATTGTATTAACTGCGAGCAGCTGAGGATACCTGGTTTTGAGGAATCATATTTAAAACAAGTTTGTGGGGGACCTTTTCTGGCTCTCAAACAGAAATGTAAAAATAGCTAGTTTTTGAAAGGATAACGACTTTGTCCAGTACAGGGTTGTGGGGGAAGCTGGAGCCTATCACTGAAAGCCCTGTCCCTTTTTGTTGCAGACATTTCTTTCTCATCTTGAAAGAATCACCATCACCTGTTATTTTAGCCAACCCACAGCCTTAAAGACCAAGATTCTGAGTTATCCTTTTCTTTAAATACTGTATTTTAAATATGTGCCAGATGTAATGGAACATGACATGGATTGTCTTCAATTTTTTGTAGTTCTTCCGACAAGAGTGTGAAGGTCTGGGATGTTGGGTCAAGAGCTTGTGTGAATACTTTCTTTGATCATCAGGACCAGGTGAGGATTTCTATAGTCTAGTTTTTAAAAACTGTGAAAATATGTTTAAAAATATTGTAAGGACATTATTTGGGGAGTTAGCATTGATTGGTTTGTCTTGTTTAATTTCTAGTTTGAGCTTCTTTTGTGTGTTTGATTGTATCCTTTTGCCACATAATGTTTCATTCCAACTAACCATAGAAGTATAGATTGCTTTTGTAAAGATCTGTGATAGGTGAATGTGAAAGAGCTATAAAGGGAAGTGTTTGTACAGACCTTTTGGTCTTCAAAACACTGAGAGTTTATTTTGCATCCTTAGTTCCTTACCCAAAGGAGGTCTTGATTTTGGGGTTTTTGCCTTTCTGCATGTCAATTAGCAATTTCAACAGGAACAAAAAATACAGTGGCAGAATCCATTTAGTAAGATGTTCTAAAACTGAGAAATAAATAAGGACATAAAATTGCCCTGGAAATCTTTGTTGGCCTGCATTTTTGTGGGGACCTTGTTAATTGTGTATCTGCAAAGGTTTCAGAGAAATCTATGGAAAGGATTTGACACTGCTGTCATCTTATGATTCTTAAAATATTTTGTTATGCTGCAACAGTGCCACATGAAATGACTCCAAATGTCAATAGAAGTCTGGATATCATTGCCTGGGGAATGAACATTTGTGATTATTTCTTGTGGCATTGTTTCACTGGAATGTCTTCATCCAGTAAAAACAGACAGCCCTTTTTGCTTTTAACTGTTCCGTTACTTCTCAGCGTGTACTTTTCAAAGAATGGATTTGCCTCGTTTGTTTGGTGGGTAAGTCAATCTGTACATTAACATTACAGCATGACATATTATCTTTAAATCCTTTATATGTCAGAGAAGCACTAAGGCTTTGTCCTGGACTGAGTATCCAAAAGCAAGAGTTAAAAATGATTTTTGTTTCAGGTGTGGAGTGTCAAGTACAATGGAAATGGATCCAAGGTGGTCTCTGCAGGAGATGATCGGGCAATCCATATTTATGACTGTCCAGTTTGAAAAACGGATTATGGGCCTGGAACGAATCTTCTGCACCTGGAATCGGTCTCCCAAAAACACTGTACATATTGCTTGGCTTGGTATGATAAACCAGATTATTATTTTATATTGAAAGCAGCTCAGCAAAGAAAAATGAAAGCCATCATCTCAAGCAGTTTTGGGTGGATTTTATTTTGTGAATTTGTTTTTAAATAAAACCTTATGTTTTCTTTGACAAGGAAACTGCTCTTCTCTTGGGATTAAATCTATAAAAACGTTTTCATTCCTGTTCATAAAGGCTTTTACTTAAATGTAGTATTTTAAGTTGCCTTGTTCATGAACTAATTTTATATGTGAAGCAGTTCTACTTATGCAGGTTATATAGAAGCAAAAATCAAAAATCAGGTAATGCGTTGGCTTTAACCATTCTGACTATGATTACACAAAAATGTTAAGTAGAATTTGCATCACAAATGTACTGATTGGAAATTGGCTGTCATCTGTCTTGGGAACAGTACTGCCCAGAAATAGTAACCTTCAGCACAGAATCTTTACATTAAATTTCCTGTTTTTCAGCTGTCATTTGTGCGGAGTGATTTTATCTAGATTGGTTTTGTATCACTAATGCAAACTAATATTTCTTTACTGGAAATGTCAGTGCAGTTTTCTGAAAGGCATGAATGTTAATGTCTCATTCTCCCATGTGAGTAGGTTGGCGTTCACAGCACACGGATAAAACAGCTGAATCTCACAAACAAAATCTGTCTGGAGCTATAAATAATACTAATGATTCATTCATAAGATACAACTGGATTACAGAACCCATTGTCACTCCAAATCAAGTTTTCCATAGGTGAAAAATAGGTTTTTAATTATCAATGTTGCTCAGTGACAAATCCAGGGGATTTGTTTAATGCTTGTTTGATATTGTAATGCACTTTTCCTAAAACCAAAACCAAACCATATAAGACTTGTTTCACAGTTTTATTAGAATTTAATAATGAAAGGTTTCTGAGAAATATTGTACATGATGTTGGCAAGAAAGCAACTTTTTAAATCTAACTCCTTAATAAATATTAAAATGACAAGCATTGAAAACAAAACATGATATCCAACCCATGGATCTTTGTAAATACCACCACCAAATAAAGTCTTACAAGCTGGAAGTAAGATAAGATCACTTTACTACACAAATAATGGAGAGGGAAAAATAAACTATACATGATATTGCACTGACAAAACCCTCCAGCTTGATTCCAAACAACTCAAGAACCGCAATATTAAGTACAGTATATGGGTACTTTTCCTACTCTCATTGCAGTCCAGTGCGCCACCTCATGGACAACATAATTACAGTGTATCAATGAAAATCTTTAATGAATAAACCATGCATTGGTTGAAATTTTCAAATTGCTTAGAATTACAAACACCATTTTTAGAGCAGGAAAGAGGAATAAGGGATCATTTTATGGACGTTATTACAACAAGACTCCATAAAATTTAAATTAAATGAATATTCATTCTTTCACCCAAAAACCAAACCTGTTGAGAAAAAAAGGAATTCAAGTTTTAAAGTTATTTCCCATAGTTAACATCTCTTCTGAAAATATAATTCATGATTAAAAAAGGCAAACCAAGCTTTCATATTGTGGATACTGCAGGCTATTTCCTGAAGTGAAGTGTTGCTCTCAAAATGCTGCTGCTTCCAGAAGTCATTTTGTAGGTTTTGTTTTCTGCACTGAAACTTCCGTTCAGGTACTTTAGAACTGCATGTTCTATTAAAAGATGGATTCAGTGTAATGACCAATGTCTGTCATGTTTAATGCAGTTGAATGCAGGAGGCCAGACACTCCAAAACAGAGACTGGGAAGATTTTATGCAAACACAAAGACTATGGAACTGCTTTAGTAAGCAACACGGACAATATTACAGAGAGGAGTGCTCTATGGTGCTATCAAGTTAAAGTGCTTAAAAAAAACACTGATATAATTTAAACTGCTTCCAAAATCAATCTTTGATTTTTTTTACCATCTCCTGTTTTAATAATATAACAGTTTAATTCAGTACCATATTTTACAGCTTGCCACTGCACTAACTGCTATACATGTTGAATTGTTTTACAGAGTCATATCTGTAAATAGGTTAGTATACTTACAGATTACGAAATCCAAAAATCAATTAGGACATAAAAATAGCTTTACCCTATAGCAACAGGCTACTCCACTGTTCGCTAATTGAAATTGCCTTAGTAAGTTTTTAACGTCACATTCACAGTACATCTGTACACCCAGCAATATAAGGTTGATTTGAGAAATTAAATAAATGAAATAGGTCATCATCTAACTGAGAAAAATATTCAATATCCAATTGCAGATGAACAATTTTTGAGAATCAGGTATACTGCGAGTGGTACCCCATCTGGTAAGAGTGTTGTACAGGATCTGAAGTGCTAGCTCTGTACATCTGGGTTAAAAGTTTTTACATTTATAGTTGGTGACAGTGAAGTAAAGTACTTATCCTGTTTATTTTTTTCTTCAATGTGGAGTACCTAGATGAAACATAAGAATATGGTCATCTGAATGAAGATATGCTCACCAGATTAGCTCCAGCTATTTGGCCATTTAGTACAGAACTAACCACACTCGCAATCTGGAATCTGACCAGTCATGTCATATTTTTTGCTTCCATATTGCGCTTCTGTAATGAGAAGCAGTTTTGTCATCTGTAAGACTGATCTGACAAACCAACCAGAAAACAAGAAAACTGTCTGAAGGAATTTGGCAAATCTGCTTTTTGTGACTAAGGCAACAAAAGTAATTCTTTCTAAAGTTTAGACAATGTAAACGAAAACTTCTAAAATATTCTAAAAGTAAATCACAGATATGACTTAATTCAAAATTGATCAATTTCTATTGTAAGTTAAGATGCTGATTTGATACTTTCTCTTGGATGGAAAGCACTGAGATTTTCTTCAGATCTTCTGCTTGTCCCCAGATTCCGGCTGAGCTATACCACAATTTCAGTTTGCCGTCACATACTAGCCTGGAAAGACGAGTCTAGTAAATGCACAGAAAAAAAAACCTTTTTTTAGAACCCTGTTACGGGCACTTGAGAAATCTGACTTAGAAAATATCACACATTTGATGCCAGTGAGAGATGGTTCCTGTCCGAAAATGTGAGTCCCCGTCACTAGATCATGGATTAAGAGGAATGTGGTAGTGTTGTGATAAAATAAATTCTTCATCCTTCTTCCATAAAGTTGAATATAAAACCGACAGCTTAGGATAAACCTTGCAGATGCACTAACAAGATTCAGTGGATGAAGACTATGCTTTAAAAGACGTTAGCGGCTTGCTTAAACACCACCTCTCAGACGTTTCACACCGTGCTCCAACTGGGTATGCCAGCAGTACTGACCAATAGACTTACAGCCTAATACTTATAAAGTATTAGTTACAGAGAAACATGACATACATATAATTTACATGAAGCAGCTAATCCACAATATTTGGTAAAAATGGAATTTGGCCCAAAACATTACTTTGAGTGTAGTTTTAAGCTGTTGATAAGATTGCAATACATCTACTGTATTATGCTTCTACTGTATATAGAGACCCAAGAGAATTTCAAAAAAGTTCCAAATTTTGACTTGATATAACTCTGACTGCTGTAAAAAGGTATAAGGATATGGGCCTACCATCATTCTTTGAAAAGTTTTTTTTAACATTAATTTGAAAATCCACCTACTGTACAATGCTGTAGTAATACTCAGAAAATATGCATTCATTTCTCACAATGTCCACCTTTAACTCCAGCACTCTGTTAAAATGACCAAAGGTCTTGTGCTTTAATGGTTTTCACAGATGTGGCTACATCTCCTTTGTACAGAGAACAATGCAATTCCATAGCTACACTGGCAGAACTGAACATGATGTTTCCCATGTTCAGCAGTAGTATATACAGTAGATGGAGCAAAGATCAATTTCAAAACTGATGGAACAGCAATATTCAAACCTTTTCCCTAATTCTTCAGATTCAGAATAGGCTTAATAAGAGTTTGTAGCCTAATTTATGATCTAGAGTTGCCCTTTAAAGAGTTATTCCCATTGTAATTTAAAAATGAGACAATTATTTTATCATCTCAACATACTGTATACAAGAGGTTTAAGGAGTACTCTCTCTTAATTCATTGGTATTTCACAACACAAAAACTTAGAAGAACGTAGGTTTCTTTCTTCAAGAATGTATATATCGGGTAAATTTATATAAATTGTCAGGGAGCTGTTACAGACATTTACAGTATCCTCAAGAAAACAGAAGCACCCACCCCTGACTTAACATGATAATAGTTGTTCCCTTCCCAAAACAAAGTTTCACCGGGCAACACGTTGAAAGTGTTGTAAAGAAAATAATAAACGGGGCTGGAGCACAGGGAGAAAGGGCACAGACTCTGAGCTGCTTTCCCTTCTCTACCAGTGTCTGGAATCGACAAGCTCCGGTCGGAGGCTCAGTTTCTTCAGGGTCTCGTAGCCCACGACCATGACGATGGCAGTCGGCGTGGAGGAGATGATGCGGGCCGACAGCCCCTTGGTCATGCCCCAGCAGCCTTCCTCAGCCAGGAGCTGTCTGAAAGTCTCGATCACAGAAGACTTGCCTTCCACCTTTTGGAACAAGCAAACACCAACATCTTAGTTCTGTTGTTAGTAAGCCACTAGCAACTCACACTTCCTGACAGATACTCCAGGGGGATATCCAACGCCAGCAGCCATATCACCCTGCAACTCACTACTGACAACCCACTGGTGCTCAGCAGGTGTGAGCCTGGTCAGTACCTGGATGGGAGACTCCTGGGAAAAACTAAAGTTGCTGCTGGAGGTTTTATTGGGACCAGTAGGGGGCGCTCACCCTGCAGTCTGTGTGGGTCCTAATGCCCCAGTATAGTGATGGAGACACTGTACTGAAAAAAGGCACCGTCCTTCAGATGAGACGTAAAACTGAGGTCCTGACTCTCTGTGGTCATTAAAAATCCCAGGGTGTTTCTTGAAAAGAGTAGGGATGTTACTCTGGCCTGTTAGGGTCTTAGTTCCCCAGTATGGTGATTGGGACACCATACTGTAAAAAAGGCACATTTCAGAAGAGGCATAAAACCAAAGTCCTGACTCTCTGCAGTCATTAAAAATCCCAGGCTGTTTCTCTATAAGAGAGTGGGGTGTTAAACCTGGCCAAATTTCTCCCTGGACTTTACCAATCATGGCCTCCTAATAATCCCCATATATACTGTAAACTGGCTTAATCACTCTGTTCTCCTCCCCACTGAGAGCTGGTGTGTGGTGAGGGTACGGGTGCACTTTGGCTGTCAGCACATCATCCAGGTGGGGCTGCACATTGTGGCGCTGGAGGGGAGTCTGCATTACTTGTAAACCGCTTTGAGTGGAGTGGAGTGAAATTTTTAAAAATAATCAAAAACAGACCTTTTTTTCCAAAAGTTCTTTGTTGATCAGTTCTGGACAAGTCTACCTAAATCTGGTTGCCTGTCTGAAGGAAAGCAAGTTTTGATCTGTGTCTGTGTACTCTCTGCCAGCTTGAAGCTAAATTTGCTGCCACTTTCTTCCTTTCAAATTAATATAATCCAGATAATGTGGGCAGATTCAGGTCCTTGCGGTAACAGTACTGCACGTGAAATAAAAAAGCAATAATGTGCATTGTGGGAACAAACTGTTTAAACCCTGTTGGTGGAAGATCATATAAATTAGATGATATATATATATATTTTCTGAATAGGAATTTTGATATAAGAGAGGTCTGCATATTGCATAGCTCAGTCAAGGACAGGTGTAAATGTGTGATGAACATGTCATGCAGAAATCAAAGGGCAGTGCTAGTTCCACAGCTTACCTGCACTCTGGCCCTGACCACATCCATAGGGTTGGTGACAGTAGAGGCAGTTGCTGCTGCCAAAGGTCCAGCCATAGCTTGAAGGAGCAGATGTGGGCATTCACTGGGTGCCCATTTGGAGAGCTGTTCTGTGGAGAGAACAGATTTACAGCCTGTAAAAGAGCAGACCTTTCTATCAAACGGGCTTCCATCAGTAGTGCCTGGTGACCAGTTTTCATGGATCAACAGCAAAATAAAACACAATTGGATCAAACACTTGTTTTATGTCTCTTTCAATTACGGATAAGTTCAAATCTGTTCATTTCAGAACAGTGAAACAAAGGGGCAATGGTTAACAGTACAGTATGTCATGTGGGTACGTAGGACTAGAAGGGTTCAACCACTGGGATTAATTAGCAGTATGTTCCAGCGCTCCTTAATGTGGAAAACTGTGCTGACAAAAGTAAGTGGTTTCAGTGCAATAAACAATTTCAAAGGAGTAAACAAGTAGCACAGACTTTGGTCAAATTATGTAGAGGACTGCAGCTTTAAATTTCTATGTCTGAGAGGGACACATATCGCATTTTAGTCTGAAAAGGTGTATAAGGTGCTTATCACATGTTCTTCCACCGAAGGCTCTGGGACCTGACCACGGTAGACCTCTGCCTGCATTTCCACCGGAACCTTTACCTGCATAGAAATGATAAAAAGGCCACCACACTGCGCTGTTCGGGATGTACGTCAAGAGAGATGCCACGTAACCCCTGTAAAATCCCCGGACGCCGTCGGCTGCAAAAATCTGAACTATAATGTCTCTGGTCTGGCCAAACATCCATTTGTGCTTTGCCGCCAAAACGTTTTTGGGCTGGATTTGGAAGCGGCCCATGTGGCCCCCTTGTCCTTGCATCATGAGGTGCTGGGAGACGATGTCAATGGGGACCGTGATGCTCTGAGCCACCAGAGACGCCGACCCGCCGGCCACCAGCGATTTCAAGGCGTTGTTCTCGGAGTAGGCGGAGATGTATTTCCTGGCCAGCTCGTACGTGGTGATGTAGCCCTGGCCAGAGATCAAGGTGAAGGTGTTCACCAGGAACCCGCGGTAGAGTCCGCGCACGCCCTCGGCCCGGAGGATCTTAAGGAAGGCGTCGAGCGTGCCGCCGTACAGGGACTTCCCCTTCTGCACCTGCAGCCGGGTGCGGATGAGCGTGGCGGGGTACACTCCTGCTCGGATGGTCATGGTCATGAACACCCCGAAGGAGTAGAACTTCCTCTTGTCCAGATCCTCCCATTCTATGATCTGAATGTTCCTCTTCTCTTGCATCGTCCGGCCGGCCGCGCGCCCTCATCGGATAGACTTCCAGCTGCCTGAGGAAGAGAGCGAGCCGGTCAGACCCCCCACTCCCACAGTGCACTGCGCATGCCAGCCGAGAGGACTTGGCGCACCACCTACTCAGACTGGGGGAGTTCGCTACATAACCCTGTCTGCCATTTCTGAGGGACTGACAGTTCCATCTCACTAGGTTTAAGCAAAAACAGGACTTTGACTCTTCAGGTCGGTCTGTTCTTCTCAGTTTTTAAAGCATGCACAGCCTTGCTTTTGTTTAAGCACCGGAATCGTGTGTGTAAATCTTCCCCCCCTTGAAACAACTGGTTCAAATGATATGACTTTTCCGAAATGGACTTCAGTCCTTGGTAGGGTAGCATTCCTCTTAAGTACAAAGGTGATACAACTGTTGTGAGATAATAAATAAATGTTGATGCTGTACTTAAATCACAAAAACACATCTTGTGATCAATGATATCAAGCCAGATATCTATAGCATCCTATGTGATATAAATGGCAGTTTTCTTAAATGTAGAACTTAAAATGTGAACTGGTGTTTACACGTTGTTTTCTTCTTTAAACCTTTAGCAGTACAATTAACACCTACTTGTAACATTAGTACACTTTTATCACAGTAGATATTTTATATCTACTTAAAAAAGGGAATAGATGTAGCGATTTTTAATTCTATTTACTAGGAGAACATGTTAGCGCCGCACGACATGATTATTAGATTTTATAAGTCACAAGTTATTCAGAGATTTTTTATAAATTCGAGATCCTTACGTAAGAGAAGTACGACGACTGACTGCCAACGAACGGCTCTTTTTACCTATCACAGTATATATACTGTACAGGTTATTTTCTGTGTTACATCTGTCAAAACCAAACAAAAAGAGATGTATTCACCAAGAGCGAACGTCGTATCAGTAGGACTTAATTCAGAACTTCAAAATTAAAAGAATAACCTAAAAATGAAAATGGAAAAACCACAAAGGCAGTAGTTTTTTTTATACGAGACATTTTTAAGAACAGCCTGTCAGACAACAATCAAAAGCTCTGCAACCGCTGCACAAGCTGGTTATATATCTGCGGTTTACACAGACACGGATATTAATTATCAGTTTGTAGGTGCGCATAGCATACATTTTATTACTTCAAATTATAAACACAGGACGCTGGTTTTAAGAGAGATGGAAATACATTGCATGCCCGATATGAAGCAGCTGAAGCTCCTCACTTGCTTAAGAACATGAACAGTATCGCAGCTCTCATTTGCAGACACATTTCTGGGTTTCGCTGGCTTCAGCAGTTATTCAAACGTCACATTGCATTTGAAATAATTTCACTTCAGGGCTAAAGCGCCATGCAGGTGCACTGCGCCAGTGAACCCTGGACCAGAGTGAAGTGTGTCCTTGCTCCTCAGGTCTGCCCAATATCTGGGCTCAAGAGCGGTTTCACCTCAAATGCTTGGCGTTTCCCCCCATAACACTTCCGTTATCATTCAGATACTGTAGAATCCAGCATTATTTCAGTTACGAAACATCCGTGTGAGCAACACACGGATACATAGCACTGTCAATGCGGGCACAATGGGCGCAAATCCGAGCTCTAAAAAACGCAAAATGGTTTTAACTCACCGTATAGGTATCTTCTTTGAAACCCCACGTCTGGCTACCGCATTTTCCGAACTTTAAACAACACCAATCTCCTTAAAACATGTGAAATTTCTCTGTCAGGAAGGGAGATCGTATGTGCAACCTCCGGCCTACTCGTGATCTCACCAAATGTCATGCCGCCTCAGTGACCAATGCGAGCCCGGAGAGGGAGACACACCGCCGGCGGGTGAAAGGTCAGCCGGGCCGGGCCTGCGCCCTGCTTCCTGTGACACACACGGCATCGCCATACCCGTGTTGTAGGTGCTCCAAACTGGGATTCGTGTTAAAAAAAAATGAGTGTACACAAAAGCAAAGTCATATAGCAGTTGCTTTTCTTTTTTAACAGCAGTAAGGCGGAAGGCGCATTCCAAACTCGCTATTTACAACCTTATAAACTCGGCGCGCAGATTCTTTCAGTAACAACCAAGGCTGGTTGTGCTTGTATTTAGCCGCCATGACCATAATTGCCCTCAGATTTGCTAACGTGGTCAATGTATTGTTCTGTTGCGCTTCAACAGGCGGCTAAGGCAAACACCAGCTGCGACCTGCTGTGCGTTTTCCACCCAAGACATTTAAATCATGTGACGCACATCGTTGTGGATGTCTCGGGGAAAGGGCCCAGATTAGAGGATGGCTCTGTTAAACATGGGGAATTTGCTGTTCTACAGTAAGGGTGACTGGTGGTGGGCACAAAAGGTGAACATTTGTTTCTGAACACGGTGTACGATTATAAAATACACTTAAAAAGCACGTATACGCGCAGGCGCCCGAACACGACATCCTGGAGAGCTCCCCCCCACCCCGGCGCCTCTGTCACATGACTGCCTGCCGCTGAGGGGGCGGGTCCGCTAGAGGCGCGGCGCGCCCGGCGATTGGACGGCACGCCGGGGAGGGGGGCGTTGCCATGGGCGGCAGAGGAGATCGTGTCTGGTTCAGATCCCGTTATGGCGCTCGGTGCTGTACCAGAAGGTAAGCGAGTTCACAAAGAGGACATTAATAACAGCCACAGCGAAGCGCTAGCGTCCAGTGGCACGGTTCAAGTAACGCTTGTCAGCTTTCAGTTTGTCGTACTAACCGCTACTTACGTTGGGTATCCTTTTTTTTCTGTACATAGCTGTACGGTTCCTACCACTTGCCTTCTCTAGGGCTCGCTGCCTGCTTGTATTAGTTACTGAACCGACCAGGAAAAGAACAGTCTGTTAGTAATTTGATGATCCGTCTTTTTTCGGTTTAGAGTAACCGTGGCTCTCGCTGCACTCTCTGCTGGGAGCGGTGAATGTTTCCGCTGTGATGTCGACATGGCGTTTTGAAGGGTTAAGTTAGTGAGAGTGGCCGTTTCGCCCAGGCCGGAGTGCGTTTTGTGCTGTCACTCGTCTGGCTTCTTGAGCCTGGATGTTAAAGAAACCTGCATGACACTTTCCTGCCGTATATATGAATGTCTTTTGCGTCATTCGGTAAAAGGGGCTTCTGGTTTGTTCGTTTGTTTTCATCTGGTGTTTATTTCTTAGGAAACAAAACTGCAATCTTTAAACGATAGCGATAAACAAACCCGAAAGCAGTTGAATTCAGTACACCACAGACCTTCTGTAAGAATTATGGTTTTGTTGTTCGCTCTTTTGAAAGACCCCCCCCATCGAATTGGGAGCTGCTGTTTTGAGTTGAGACACGGCCCTCATAATGTCATTTCCAAGTTATCTGTCCATGGCACCGGTTCTGTGCTGTACGTTGGAAACGATAAGTCGAGGGTGGGTCTGTCTGTCAGAAAGTGTAGGCGTCCCCCCCAGAAAAAAAAGAAGAAGCGAACAGTAGGATCTTTAAAACCCACGTTTTCTTTGATGAAAGGTTTGAGATGCGTTCCTGGGTGCAGCGCTCACGCTGATGACAGAATCTCTGTTATGTTAAATGAATGAATGAAGTATTTTGAAGTGAATTAATCCCTCTGTTTGGGTTGCCGCATCTGTGAATCAGGAGTGATTTTTAATGACTTGCTGTAGTTTTGCATTACATTTAAAAATAGATATAATCAGGAAGTGGACTTCTTCCCACACAAGTACATATATTGCAAAGCCTGTATTTCTAGAATGTTTCATGCAGTGAAAGATTACATTGCAGGAAGATTACCTTTATGAAACGGGCATATACATTTTCCTATGGAGTTTTATTAGTTTGGAAATACAACAGGGTTGGCAGCTAGATTATGCACTGGGGGTACTGGAAAATACCACTCTGGAAGCTTCGGAAAGAGGTCCCTGTTCCATTTGTCTTTTCAGTTACAGTAGTTACTGCCATTGTTAATGGTAATATTGCAAAAACATCCAAAATGGATATATTGATGTGTTGTTAATGTATGTGAATTTTGCTTGGTTGAGCTTTTAGCCTTAATGTCAAATTATTAAAATCATTAAGTAATACAATTTTTTTATGCTGTGTTATACTTTATTGTAGAGAAAACCTAGGACTAGGAGTTTAATGTTTTCTTGCAGCTTTGATGAAAGCACAGAACCGGTAGCAAAATGCTCTTCATTAATTTTAATAAAAAGCTTGCATATCAGCCCTGAATAGCAGTTATCACACTTTGTTCCACTTTTTGTTTATTTTGTATCTTACTAAGGTGGTTTTTCATAAAAGCTTTTTTGTTTTTTTCTCATCGTTGGTTGCTAATACAGTGTTTAGTAACAGCACACCCTTGTTATACATATGTTTTTGGTAAAGAGGAACATATTCAGTTTAACACAGGAGGCAATAATTATTTTTCCCCATGACATTCTGTATTTCATTATTTACAAGAAATTTAAACTGAGTCAAGTATGGGAATTAAAAAGATTAAAGCACTGTTCTCCTCCCTGGAAATACACAATGAAAGATGTGAAATGGTAATGAAACTTAGTTATAATGTAGTTGTGTTGTTTTTTCATACAGCTGTAAAAGAATATACAGTAAAAGATTTGATTTTGAACACTCAGGATATTTATTTTACTAAAGGAGCTTAACAGAGTATTTTGATGATCAATTAATTACTGTCGTTTTGAAGTTCAGTACTTTGTGCTTCAGCAGAAGAGAATTAGAAAGCAAAATTCATACAAGTGAGCAGAGAAAACACATTCCTGTAAAATTCCTAAATCAGATTAAAACATTCGGCCAGTACTGATTAGGAAGAAACTGCTCCAGTATAATCTAGTGAGATATTTCTGGCAGTTTAAACCCTCTGGAGAATTTTCTTAATGAGCATACCACACTTAAATTGCTCCTTCACAGAACTGCAAGTTAAGAGGAGTCTGACTGCCAAAGCACTCAAAGGGTTTGTAGAACCTGTATCTTTATAGATGCAGCTAGGGGTCAACGTTTAAACAGTTACTTTTAATCGCTTGTACTGGAGTTGACCTATGAGCCAGTAACTGAAGTAGATTTTATCTAATGTAGCAAGAAGACTCTATAATCCAACCAAAACCTTTTTTTTTTTATTTTAGAGCATGTAGTCATAAGGTGTCACAGGGTTTTACTTCAACCACAGTAGTAGTATCCAACCAGTCCAAACATGGTGTCAATAAAGATCATGAATTGCCAACTTGGTATTGTAGTAAAGCTTACAGTGCCATAATCTCCGTTATGGTCATACAGGAACATTTATGAAAAAAGGCTATAGTTAAGTCATACACTTTTTTTTTCAGATCATCCTTTCAAAGACTTGATTGACACCTTGGAAAGTGATGGAAATGAAAACAGATTTTTTTTTAACCCGCAGAAGCTCAATGACCCACGATATGGTGAGTGAATGGAAAAATTTAAATAAAATGCAAATAATTTCAGCTGTGTTGTTGTTTGATTGTATTGTGGACTGTTGTAAAATATGAATCCATTCTATTTCCTTCTTGGCATTTGTAATTTTGGTACCACTCTAGAACTTAATAATTCAGTCAATCCTGGTTTCCCTTTATTAGTTGCTTAGGTGTCTCATCACCAGGCTGCTGATATTTTGATCTTAAGAAGTCTTCTAAATGAGTCTCTCAGTTCCTTTTGTCAGAATGCAAAGTGATGTCTTATATTTCAGTCAGTCAAAATCATAACTGTCTCAACAACAAATAATAAGCACATTTTTTACCCAGGAGAATCTAGATACAAAAATCATAACAGATCACGTGCATTCCATTAAACAGTTACATCCATTTGCCTTTGCACAATTAGAAAAAAACACAAACATTTCTTGTTTAAAATATGTAGCGAAAATACTTCGATCTGCTTTCACTTTTAAATACATCATTTTGCCATATAAGGGCCTTCATTCCTCTTGCTTCTAACATTTTTAGAAGCAGGATCACCGACATCCTAATATAGTACAAGCATGACATTGCGGGAGTCATCTGAAAATACTTTTGTTTCCAGCACTTTCATTCATCTTTCTTTCTCAACATAGATTTGTTGCCTCTGTCCATCCGTGTCATACTGGAAGCTGCAATCCGGAAATGTGATGGATTCTATGTGAAGAAGGAGGATGTCTTTAATATACTTGACTGGTGCCAGCAGCAGAGTAGTGCCGAAGTGCCCTTCTCTCCTGCTCGCATTCTCCTCCAGGATTTCACGTGAGTCTGTGGCTTGAAACTCTCTCCTGAAACTCCAGGGATGTTGGCAGAGCCTGCAGTCTGCTCCAAAATCATCCGCTTGGCTTTTAAAGTGTTGCTCTTGGCTGCTTTCGGAACCCAGTATCCAGTTCAGTCGATCAGTCAGTCAAGGTTTATTTATCAGTGCACGAACAGTACAGCAGACAGCAGTGTTGTCGGCAATGAAATGCTTTGTCTGCGAGCTCATTAAGAGGGTTAGAAGAGTATAATTTATAGGGGTTAGGACACAATAAATTACACAATTGCAATTTACAATACAATTAACAGATTGTGCGAAAGTAACACAAGGATAGGAGGTATTTAGCGCTCTTCGTATGTGTCCTGAGAGTGCAAGTGACAGGAGGGCGCCGGTGCACACTGTCAGTTCAAGGGGTTGCCTGTTCGCCAGCGGCCGTTTGAGTAACTGTGGCGTCTGCTGTGGTTGGGTGTTGAGCAGTCTTACTACCTAGGGGAAGAAGTTGTTACGAAACCTGGTGGTCTTGGTCTTGCATACTTCGGCATTGTTTTCCGGATGGTAGCAGCGAGTTCACGTGCGTGCATGCGTGAGTGAGATGATCACGGTTTCCGTGTGCCGCGCGTGACAGTGTGTGCTTGTCGTGACAGGGGTGTTCCTGCCATGGTGGATCTGGCTGCTATGAGAGATGCGGTGAAGGAGCAGGGCGGCGACCCCAGCCAGGTCAACCCCCTCTGTCCCACCGATCTCATTGTTGACCATTCAATTCAGATAGACTTCAGCAAATGGTAAGTGGATTATGTGTCGTTTTTCCACTCACTTTCAAACCTTTTCAAAACGTTTTCGTGCCAGTGTTGAAGTTATATTTTTATTTTAGTCTGAATTCACATTAATTGTGATGGTTTAGGTTTGCGCTCTTTTGATTTCCCCATATTGAACTGGTTCACAGACACGCGTCTCAGCATGTTGAGACTGATTTAATCTTTGGTTTATTTCATACTGTGTGATAGTTACCAATATCTTTACGGTTGTCTGGTATGTTTGTCAGTCGCCTGGTGTGTAAAGGTGAATCGCACTTCCTGTGCACTTCTGTGAAGGCGTGGTGTTGTTTTATCTCAGCGCAATCCAGAACGCCCCAAACCCAGGAGGAGGGGAAGGGCCAGGAGCACCTGCCAGGTCCTCGACAGCCAAACCGCAGCCCCGGAGAAGCCAGTGTGGGAGTCAGAAAAGTTGTAAAGGCTCTTGTAAAGATGGCCAGGGCGCTGGTACCTCAGGAAGACCTACTGCTGTCCAGATTGAAAACACCCCGATCCTGTGCCCCTTCCATCTGCAGCCTGTGTCCGAGTATGAAGCGTGGATTGATGCGTTCTTTTTTACTTAATATTAGAAATGATTTGCTTAATATTATACATCATGTAATATTTATACAAACCTAACGCGTTACAGTGTTATTAAAACATGAGTGCTAACTTTAATTTTTCCGTCTTGTCCTTTACAGACCGGAAGTAGCGTTGAAGAATCAAGAGATGGAACTAAGCAGGAACAAGGAGCGGCTGCAGTTCATTAAGGTATGGCACTCGAGCCTCACCTCTGCATAGTGCTTAGGAAAACATCCTGGATTTTTTCCCCATAGCATATACATTATATAGAACGTGGCATAAAACACTTCTAAAACATCAGACTGGACACACACTCTTTTAAGTTTTAACAGTTTATCTTATTTTTTGTGGACGTGATCCATATTGCAGTTGATCAATTATTTAAGTGCAAAACATGAGCCGATAGCATTTGAATTGCCTAAATCTGGCTCACACCCCAAATAATCTGTTACTGATTATTTTTTTCTGATTGGTTGCACAGCAGGGAACAAACGCGGAACAAATTCCGTCAACGCAGGAATGTTTTTAAAGCCTCTGCTCTTATTTAAGAAGCCCCCGAAGATACTGGAAATGTAAAACTAACGCCAACAAATTCCATTCACTGAAACGGCGCGTAACATTTAGGGCCACCAGAGCACTTTAGGCAGTAAAGCCTGAGTACATGCTGGGTCAGTGTCACTGGGTCGTTCTCCTCTGTATGAGGTCGTGGGCTTGGTAGTTGCAAGCTTTGGTGTAAAAAAAAAAAACCCAGTTGGTCTGTTTTAAATCAGGTGGGTATAATGAAAAACAAAAATATATTTTTTTCTTTTTGCAGTGGTGCTCAGAGGCTTTTAAAAATGTGAATGTGGTGCCTCCTGAAATGGGGGCTGTGCACCAAGTGAACCTCGAGTATCTTTCACACGTTGTCCAAGATGATGGGAGGTTTCTTTACCCTGACAGTGTAGTGGGGACAGATTCACACACAACCATGATCAATGGCCTTGGGATTCTGGGTTGGGGTAAGTAGAATTTTGCAATACAGGTGGGTAGCTGCGCCAGCATTAGTATTTTGCAATACAGTTATGAAATACCTCATGCTTTATTTTAACTGTTATTCCAGGGTGTTTCTTATTTGCCTTGTAAATGTTTCCATATGAGTGTCTCTGGTTTTTCTTCACAGTAAGCTGATGTTTTCCCTGCAGGTTTACTTCCCACAGTGTCAAAACCTGAAACATTTTCATTTTTTACTTTGCATTTTTGTAGCTAGTGGTTTACTGCCTTGAGGTATGCTACCACATACTAAAAGAAATATGTGTTTTTGGATGTGAATGCCACTCCCTGTGCCTGTCACTTAGCACGTATTCCATCTGTTGTAGGTGTTGGAGGTATTGAATCTGAAGCTGTTATGCTTGGCCAGCCTGTGTCCTTGGCTTTACCCCAGGTTGTTGGATGCAAGCTAGTTGGATCCATTAACACTTTAGCTACATCTATAGACATCGTCCTCGGCATCACTAAGGTATGAAGATACCCAGAGTTTCAAAGCATTGTATATACCACTTATTTTTTGGTTTTATTTTAAATTTCTCACTCAAAATATACTCTGATTTTCAGCACCTTCGACAGGCTGGTATTGCGGGTAAATTTGTGGAGTTTTTTGGGCCAGGAGTGTCTCAGTTATCTGCTGGAGACCGGACTACAATCGCCAACATGTGCCCAGAGTATAATGCCACTGTGAGCTTTTTCCCTGTTGATCATATAACACTGAAGCACTTGAAACAAACAAGTAAGAAAATAATTAACTTCAAATTCTTTATGAACAAAAAAAAATGAAATGCACCATATCTTGACAACAGGAGTTAAAACTTGCATCTTCATTTGTTTTTCACAAATGTTTATGTTGCTACATGTGTTGTGTGCTTAAAACTGATTTAATGCTGATCTTATTTTGGTTTTCAGAGTTTGACAAAGAGAAACTTGAATTAATGGAAGGTTATCTTAAAGCTGTGAAACTGTTTAGAAGTTATGAGGACCCATCAGAAGATCCACATTATTCTGAGGTGTGTCTGCAATATCTCACATTTCAAAATGTGCAATAACTTAATAGTCCAGGTGTTTTTGGATACAATTTAAATTTGAAATGGTGGTTATAACCCAAATCTGTCATTGCCTTGTAGGTGATAGAGATAAACCTCAGCTCCATCATTCCCCATGTGAGTGGCCCTAAGAGATCTCAGGACCGAGTGGCTGTTACCAGCATGAAGCAGGATTTTTTGAACTGTCTAAATGAGAAGGTAATACACTTGTTCTTGGATCTGTAATTCTGTGAATTGGAATATCAGTTGTGTAATTGTATTGCACATTATTTTTCTATTGCATACTTATTTATTTTTAAAAAGCAATCAACTTGTGAATGCTCATATTAAGCAAGTTAGTTATCACATAAAATGAAATACCAAACTGAGGCCACAACTTGTTCAGTATTTTCAAAAGCATGCATGATTATTAATACTTAAGTATATCGCTGAATCCTTTCCTCTAGGTGATTTGATATCTTGGTGTCATAAGGTAATTGAAATAAGGGTAATTGGAAAAACAGTTTGAACTTTAGAGTGGAAGGAACAAGTTCCTGTTTAATTTCTTAGTCAACAGACTGTCTCTCCCAAGTCACAGACAGCACGTGTTCAAGATTATCCTAAATGGCTAATGTTTAAAACAAATATATACAGTTGTTGACTGTGTAAGAAATCAGACTAATTTCACAGGTTAAGGAAAGACAGTCTAATGTTAAGTAGTATTAGCATAAAAGAATGCTTAAGATACACTGGCAGATCTCAAGAAATGATGGTATTCTCCTGATTTTGTTGAAGGAAGTGACTCAAATTTATGTTTTTCTATCAATTGTGGGACCAAAATGCTTTTTATTTTGCTCTAGGTTGGCTTTAAAGGATTTCATGTTCCATCTGAAAAACAGAACACAGTAGTGTCTTTTCAGCATGAAGGAGCAGAGTACGAGCTTGCCCATGGCTCTGTTGTCATCGCTGCTGTGATCAGCTGCACAAACAACTGCAACCCGTCCGTCATGTTGGCAGCAGGTGAGCCTCCGTGAACAGCGCCTGGATGTTAATACAGCCCATACCTCTGAAATAACGTGCTACAGAAGGAAGGTGAAAAACTGCTTTGTAACGGTGGATTGTGGTGTTTTTGTTGAAGGGCTGCTGGCGAAGAAGGCAGTGGAGGCAGGCCTGGTTGTTAAACCTTACATAAGAACCAGCTTGGCACCTGGGAATGGAATGGTGACTCACTACCTCAGTGCCAGTGGCGTTTTACCTTACCTCAGTCAGCTCGGGTATGTATGTCTTTGAGGAAGGACGCATGATCAGAAAAGACACGTTCCATTGTGTGAGTTTGAGGTTATTTGTTTTTACATTTTTGGCAAAGCTATAGCATTTTGTAAGTGAATTTCCCAAAGGACTGATCACACTGAGGCTCTATTTCCATTTATTTAGAGGCTAAAAAAAGCAAATTGGAAGTTATACCAGAAGGACATTTGGAAAAAACCTGCAAGTCTCTCGTTTCTTTGTAAATCTATGTTCAGCCCTTGTTTGTGGTTTCTGTACTACTGTGTATGAATAGTTTCTTGGCTTTCCATTTCAGTATATATAGGCATACATGCACTGTTGGAAGCAGTGGAAAGTGTTGAAGCATATGATTTAAGCTGTTAATATATCTCTGCTGTCACTTGGGTTTTTGCTTTATATTTCTTATGCAGGTTTGAGGTTATTGGTTATGGATGTGCCACCTGTGTTGGAAACACAGCTCCGCTTCCAAATGCTGTCATTGAAGCGATTAAAGAGGTAGTGTTTAAATTCAGATTTTTACTAAGTGTTTTTAGACGTGTATATAAATATCCGCCTGCGTAAGAATGGCTAAACTTAGTGCTAAGTATTTAATCATTCATATATTGAATAGCAATGTATAGTGTAAAAATATATTAAACCCATTGATGAAAACATAGTTTTTGTAGTTTTATTATTAGAGTGGTTTTGAAAATCAATCATTTTAGAAGAATTTAGAAACAGGATATTCAATATACTAATGTTTACCGTGCATTTCTTAGAACTCCGAGTATCTCTAAGCAGACTATTTGAAGGATTCTTGGCTGTAACGTTTTAAAGCATGTCCTCCTTTTTTTGTGTTAAGATATGATTCTCTTTAAAAAAATTAAAAACTGCTCAATGCATCTGATACGTGCTTCAGAAATGTCCTTTGTTTTACATTGCTTCATCACTGCTAGAGTGGTGTAGGAACCGTTTATTGATTGAGCAAGAAGTATTGCAAACCTGAGCCTCACATTTTGTTCACAGGGAGACTTAGTCGCATGCGGCGTGCTGTCTGGAAACAGGAACTTTGAGGGTCGTCTGTGTGAATGCGTGCGTGCCAACTACCTTGCCTCCCCACCTCTTGTGGTAGCTTATGCCATAGCTGGCACTGTTGGCATAGACTTTGAGATGGAGCCTTTGGGTAAGCCCTGTCAATTACACTTTAGGCCTTTACTCAGTTTTTAAGGTGTAGAGAATGCTGAATGTGAACTATTATTACAGTTAGTATGGGTAATGGACTCTGAAAAATTATAACTTGTTTTGTAAATATAGCTTGTTTATGTTTATTCCTACACTTGTTTTATTTATAGGCAAGAATTCAGATGGTAGAGAGATTTACCTGCGTGATGTCTGGCCCACTAGAGAGGAACTCCAGCAGACAGAGGAGCAGAGTGTCATCCCATCCATGTTCAGAGAGCTGAAAGAGAGGATGGAGGTCAGCCCTACAGCAAATGCGTCCCTGCCAGTCACAGAGAAATTGAAATCAGTTCAATTACTGTCTCTGTGTATTGGACTACTCTGATTTCATCTGTATTGTGCTTGTTATTCACAGAAAGGAAACAAGCTCTGGAATGGTCTTGAAGCACAAGAAAGTGTCACATTCTCTTGGGATCCAAAATCTACATATATTAGATGTCCTTCATTTTTCCAGAAACTTGTAAGTTTTACTTTAAATAATATCTGTACATTTCTTCATTGTCGGTAAACAAAACCAGGCAATAAGGATACTTTTAGGAATGTAGATTATAAGAACTCCACTTAAAGTGGAAGGATGTTTATTTCTTTAGGTGCGACACTTGTCAAGTTGTGTGTAATATGTGTTATTTTCAGACCAAAGAGCCAGCTGCTCCACAGTCTATTGAGAATGCCCATGCCTTGCTCTTCCTGGGAGACATGGTTACAACAGATCACATTTCTCCTGCTGGAAGTATAGCTCGCACAAGCGCCGCTGCAAAATACCTGATGAGCAAGCGGTAAGAATTCTTCTCAGATTACATCCTTTTCTGTTCAAATCCATGAAAACTATGAAACGAATCTAATACAAACATGAAAACTGCTCTTCTGTTTTTTCAAATTTGCTTTTAATGCATCATAACAAATGCATTTTCTTTTATAATCCCAAACCTGTTTGTCCCTGCAGGTGCAGCAGCCAATAAAAACAGTTTATCAAAGTAAAAAAAAGTGGGACAAACACGTTTGGGATTATAAAAGAAAATTTGATGCATTAAAACTGACCAAATTAGTCAGCCATGAATGCCTTTGAAAAGCTAGACATTAATTTGACATAAATTCTGGGAGATTGTTATGGTTTTGTGTGAAACTTTTTATATTTCAGTCTAAACTCAGTTTAAACTATTCTTTCAGACTGACTCCTCGAGAGTTTAATTCTTATGGGGCTCGCAGAGGAAATGATGCTGTGATGACTAGAGGCACTTTTGCCAGCATCAAGTTGCAGAATCGCTTTATTGGAAAGACGGGGCCTAAGACACTGCATATTCCATCAGAACAAATTGTAAGTGACTGTGTGGGATGTTCAGTCATTGTTCTGCAAAGGTCTTAAGTATTGTTTTAATGCTTAATAAATTCGCTATCGATCTGCCTACTTTGCAAGTTTAATTGTTCTCTTTCCAGACTGGGGCTCCTTCTTTGTGGAATGTGTGTTATCCCCATGTTAATGTGGGTTTTCACAGGATACTCTGGTTTACTTGACATCTTTAAATCTTCCATGTGGGCCAATGGGAGCCCCAACATGCTCTAGTGTCCCATAAAGGGTGTAGACCTGCTATTTGTTTGCTGTGACCCTCACCAGGAATAAGCAGCTTCCTGAAAATTAATGGAAAGACTGTTCTTACTGTAGCATTTGTCCTGATATTATTATTTTCCAGCTACTGTTTTGATTATTTCAACAGGAAAGAACAACATGGTTATTCATGGCTAGCAAAAGAAAGTAATCCTTATTACTTTTATGAGTTTATTCAGTATATAATCAATTTTAGACCATTCTATAGCTCATTTCATTGCCCCTTTTTCCATAGCGCATCTGTCCCTTTAACAAATGCTTAGTACCGTGCTGTATTTAGTGTGCTTGCTGTCTGTGTTGTAGCTCGATGTCTTTGATGCAGCAGAAAAATACCAGAGGGAAGGGATCCCTGTGATCATTCTGGCAGGAAAGAAGTATGGGTCTGGAAGCTCTCGAGACTGGGCTGCCAAAGGACCTTATCTCTTGGTAATCTTCCAGTACACCATTCTGTTCAGACTCTGCTTTGCTCAAGCCCGGCACTTACAATGTCAAACATTAAAGCAGTATGTCTATAAAAGAGTTTCACCTTAACGTGCCAATCAGCTGATTCATCTGGAATTGTGGAGTTACTTGAAGTCTTGAATGAGTTTGTGATCGTCTTTTACAGAAAATGAATGTATGTGGGACAGAATGTACTGTGACATTTGTGGCTCGTTAGCTCTGCATTCCTGTGTACCCTAGATATTTTTCTTGATGTGTTTGTATTTTTAATGCTGTATTAGTGATGGTAGGGGTGGGAGCCAAGCTGAACACTTAAAAAGACTTGGTAAAGTCTGCAAATGCAAGTCTTAATATAGATCTATATATATAGGTGTATTTTTTATATAAAAATATTGACACATTTCCAGTCAAACAGGCTTTTTGTCGTAATCAGTTGAAAGTCATAGTCATGCTGTCCAAATTTGCCATATACATTATCAATGTTAAGGTTCTCAAGAGAACATTACTGAGGAGATGCAGTCCTATTTGTCCATAATTATGTGTCTTGAAATGTTAGACTTTCTACCATAATGTGATAATCAAGAAAGTTTGGGTTGATGTTCTTAGATGTTTTGTGTCTTTGAGCGTATTTTTTTTCACAGGGTGTGAAAGCCGTAATAGCAGAGAGCTTTGAACAAATGCACAAAAACCATCTGGTTGGCATTGGGATAGCTCCTCTTCAGTTCCTGCCTGGAGAAAGTGCCGATGTGCTAGGACTGTCTGGAAAGGAGAAATTCTCTGTGTCGATTCCAGAAGACCTCTCCCCACGACAGGAGCTGACAGTAAAGGTCAGCTTCTTTTGGTACATTTAGGCAATAACTTCATAACATTTTAAAAACAAGTCAAACTTACCTCCATTTAAAAAATGAAACAGATAAATTCTATTTTCTCCAATGCTACTGTTTATAGAAGCACTTGTCAAACAAGGCAGTGTTTCTTTGTTTTAAGGTATTTTTTTAGATGGTGCTAAGAGAGATAACACTGTTGAAATCATCAAAAACCCACTAACCAGACTGTACAATTGGAGTTTGTATTTAAAGTGAAATATTTTTGCTTTCTCTGTTTTTATTTTGTATTTTTCAGGCCAGCACCGGGAAGACTTTCAAAGTTATTGCTCTCTTTGAAAGTGAAATGGATATTGTTTTTTACAAGCATGGTGGCATCCTTAAGTATGTAGCTCGCAAAATGTTACAACATTTACCGTGATGGAGCCTATTCAACACAAAGCCTTCAACAACAGCAAGTGCTGTCTTGTATCTGCTGAGTTGTTTGTAGATTATGCAAATTATAGCATACTTTCATTTTGTGATTCACTTCTTCTAAATGAAGAATCCTAAGATATATAAACTTTCAGACAACAAGACAGTTACACTGTAGAAATGAGAAGTGGACGGCCTTTTGACTGCCAGAACACCTTGAATGGAAAACTCAAGATCCAGCTTGAACATTGTCCATGTTTTCTTTTCTCCATACCATCACTTCCAGATGCCTTCCTTTCACATGAAACATATCCAATATACTTTGTTTTGGTAACTGTGAAATCATTTTTTGGACTGTTTGTGTATGTCTTGAATCACTGAGAAGAACGACTGACTTCCTTAATAGTTCATATTGATGTGAAGAATGTGTCAATTTAAAATCTGAAGCCAGATCACTGTCGTTAGAACAGGTTTTACAGGAGTCTGTCTGATCTAAATCCTCATAGCACTTTCAGAGAGATTCAAGATAATTAAACCTTTTTGTTTCCTGCCTTTCTTCCTTGTGTATATCATTGGTGTTGACAAATTCATTTATTAATGCGAGGGGGGTAAAATATCAAATTAAATGCACTTTTCTTGACATTTTGGCATATGTCACTAATATTGTTTGTTTACTGGCAGTTTGATAATGCTAGTTTTGTGTTTATATAGTATGTAATGTTGCAAAAGTAGTAAATGAAATCGCTCATCACTGCACATTGTTTAAAAAACAAATAATATGCAGTGTCAGTTACTGTTACCTCAGAGTTTTGTCTGTGCCATCCGGATAACCTTCAGCTAGGCCCATATCTGGCATGTTGTTCGATATTCCTTAACGGGCGAGACTGCCAAAGCTGCCCCCCTATCTAAAAGTACTTTGACATGGCCTTGCAGAATAAGCTTTACCAGTTGGAATTCTTTTTTTCCCCAAGACACGTGTGTTATTCTGAGTTTTTAGAAGTGTGAGTAACTGTTTATGCTGTCCTCTGCAGTTCCAGGTTCTGCTCTGTGATAATCAGTCCCACTGGAAAGTGATGAACCACGTCACCAGTAGTTGCTGCTCCTCAGACACCATTGTTTTAATCGGTTCACGTGGGTTGTGTGTTTCTGAACTATTTTGGGAAGTTGGGGTTTAGTCTTGCTTTCTGGGTTTTATTCAGTACGTCAGTCAAGTCAAGCTCTTAAACCAGCAGCACATCACCCTGCAACTCACAACTGGCAACCCACTGAAGCTCAGCAGGTGTGAGCCTGGTCAGTACCTGGATGGGAGACCTCCTGGGAAAAACTAAGGCTGCTGCTGGAAGAGGTGTTAGTGGGGCCAGCAGGGGCCGCTCACCCTGCGGTCCATGTGGGTCTTAATGCCCCAGTATAGTGATGGGGACGCTATACTGTAAACAGGCGCCATCCTTGGATGAGGTGTAAAACTGAGGTCCTGACTGTCTGTGGTCATTAAAAAAAACCCAGGGTGTTTCTCGAAAAGAGTAGGGGTGTAACCCCGGCGTCCTGGCCACATTTCCCATTGGCCTTTACTAGTCATGGCCTCCTAATAATCCCCATCTCTGAACTGGCTTCATCACTCTGCTCTCCTCCCCACTGACCTGTAAAACGCTTTGAGTGGAGTGTCCAGAAAAGCGCTATATAAGTGTAAGCAATTATTATTATTTTATTATTATTATTAAATGAATTCTGCCTTCAATGTGGCAGTGCTGCCGCATTTCATTGCTCTTGTGGTCACAGTTTACTGGTACAGTTTTATATTTCTCTAGCGACGTTGTACAGAAAAGACCATGAAAGTGCAGTAACTTTTAGACGTAGCCATGAACTTAGAATTCTGTATGTGTGGCGTGGTGCTTTACTTACAGTAGTCTCTGGGGTTTGCCAAAGCGGATTTTGACAGCAGTCTCCTTGGTCTAGTTTCAGAACCGCATGTATACAGCACAAGCCTATCAGGAGTACTTATTAAAATAAGTATTGTACAAAATGTATTAAATATGTAACTATTAACTGTTGCTGATAATGTAAATACATTTTAATAAAGACTGAAATGCAATTATTTCTGTATTGTAAATATTTTTCTTTTTTTTTTATTTGGTAGTGTAGTATCAGTGGATCTTCGTTACTTAATTAAATTGAACTGCTTATTACCTTGCAATCATTTTAATCTGGCTGATACCGTTTATAAAATTATTATATAATTGCTTGCCAGAAGAAACGCTGAAATGGATATTACATTTGCTAAATTCTGCCCTTATCAGCTGTCTTGCATGAAAGCAAAAGAATTAAGTTCTGCTCTGGATTGCATCCATGTATCAGTGTGAGTTAACCCATCCTACTTTCAGAGAGAAAGGAACTGTCCTCAATATTTTTTCTGTTTCAGTATATGTGCAGTTATTTGTATCTGCTGCATACAAATGAATGAATGGTTTTATAATGGTCTTGTACAGCGTTAATTCTGGATGCTGGTGGATGGTGGATGCTGCACATTAGTGGTGGTGGCGGGGATCCCCATTACCTGTATAGCGCTTTGAGTGTAGTGTCCAGAAAAGCGCTCTGTAAGTGTAAGCAATTATTATTATTATTATTATTATATCTAGACTTACATGGTTATAATGTTGACAGGTTGCAAGTATCTTATACTTGCATGCATAAAGTACATATTATATATATAGATGTGTTCATCTCAAAGGATCCCAAACTGCTTTACACACAAAAGGGAGCTCATTTCTATGATGTGCCATTATGTATCAGCGACCGCACTGCACAGCAGATCAGGAGAAGTGCGAAATGAAGTGGGAATTTTTAAGAAGGTGAGGGGTTGATACTCATACTCTTTCAAGACATGGCATGGGATCTTTAATGACTTTTATGATGATGATCATTTTTTTTTTATTAATAATTTAACGACCTGAGATTTTTCAAGGCCAGCAGCCATATCACCCCACAGATTACATCTGGCAGCCCCACTGAAGCTCAGCAGGTGTGAGCCTGGTCAGTACCTGGATGGGAGACCTCCTGGGAAAAACTAAGGCTGCTGCTGGAAAAGGTGTTAGTAGGGCCAGTAGGGGGCGCTCACCCTGCTATCTGTGTGGGTCCTAATGCCCCAGTATGGTGATGGGGACACTGTACTGTAAACAGGTGCCATTCTTCAGATGAGATGTAAAACTGAGGTCCTGACTCTCTGTGGTCATTTAAAATCCAAGGGTGTTTCCCTGGCGTCCTGGCCAAATTTCCCATTGGCCCTTACCAATCATGGCCTCCTAATAATCCCCCTCTATGAATTGGCTTCATCACTCTGCTCTCCTCCCCACTAATAGATGATGTGTGGGGAGTGTACTGGTGCACTATGGCTGCTGTTGCATCATCCAGGTGGGGCTGCACACTGGTGTTGGTGGAGGGGATCCCCATTACCTGTCAAACGCTTTGAGTGGAGTGTCCAGAAAAGTGCTATATAAGTGAAAGCAATTATTATTAATTTTAATGACCACAGAGAGTACAGACCTCGGTTTTTCATCTCATCTAAAGGATGGCTCCCCTTTTTTACAGTATAATGTTCCTATTAGCTACACTGGGCCATTACGACAACACAGACCGCTGGTTGAGTTCTCCCTACTGGTCCTACTAGCACCTCTTCCAGCAGCACCCTTGGTTTTCCCAAGAACCAGGAGGCCTCCCATCCAGGTTCTGGCCAGCGTTTAAGGTCTTGTCTATAAAATGGCACCTTCTACAGTGCACTGTCTCCCATTTACCACGCTGGGGAGTTTGTGTGGGATTTCTGGTCAGGATGGGAAGAGTGCATGTACTGGTCCACCAACACCACCTGCAACAGTAAACTGGATTTACCTGAAGTTCTCCCCATTCCTCCCAGTACTGACCTGGCCCAGTCTTGCTTAGCATCTAATGAGTTAAGGGTAAATAGTGGTAATGAAAGCAAAAGGCACTTTGTGTGAAGAAAGATGAATATCTGCCAGCGTTTTTGCTGTATCAAAGCCAATTTCCTGGTTTTATTAAAACATTCATGAGCTTCCACCTATCAAATGAGCAAGGTGGTCTAAATCAATTCTGCTAATCTTCTTTGCGTATTGTTTACTGAACTGTGCGTTGCAAATAAATTTAGACATAGAGTTAGAGAAATACAATGCAGTTTGCAAACAATATTTTTAATAAATACCCTAACACTGACATAAAAAATAAAGAGACATTGGAATTAAAGGGATACCGGCAGCTATATCACATTGCAACTCAACTGGCGGTCCACTGAAGCTCAGCAGGTGTGAGCCTGGCCAGTACCTGGATGGGAGACCTCCTGGGAAAAACTAAGGCTGCTGCTGGAAGAGGTGTTAGTGGGGCCAGCAGGGGGCGCTCACCCTGCGGTCTGTGTGGGTCCTATGTCCCACTATAGTGACGGGGACACCAAACTTAAAAAGGTGCCATCCCTCAGTAGTGGTTGTACGAACTGCTGGTTTAATTGCGTTTTCTTGTTTTTTCATAGTTTGCGTTGAATCATCCACGCTACTAGGGGGCGCCAAAATAAAACTTGGCTCACAAGTTATGGAAAGTGCGCTCTTTTTATTTTTGGATGAGTCGGTGTTTCATATCAGGTAGTCCCCGGCAACATTCTGACTGAGCAGCATTTGTAAGATATAAAATATAAAATTACATTTACTTTTAAAACGGATTAGCTTTTTTAAACGCAATTTGCTTTGGGCGCTTAGATCGTATTACGAGACTGTATGGCTCATTACGCTTGTTTTCAGAAACCTTAGTAGTTTTATGTTTTTGGCCTACGTGAATGATGCTCTGTAGTTCCTGCTTCATCATGCTGGCAAAGTCTAGTGTGCTGTAACTTGTGTAAATGTAGCTTATTGTTTTTCATGATTTTGCCTCTTTGTTTCAGAAGAGAGTCAGATTCTAATGTGACTGTATTTGTAAACTTAGTATGTTTGATATATTTCAGTTTATTAATGTGTTCTCCTGGTATTGGAAACCACTTTGTCATTATGGGTTAGCTCCTGTTGGTTTCGTTTTCTTTAGCTTTGACGATATGCGATGATTTGCAAGCAATATAAACATGTTACACGTTTTTCAGTCCACTGTACTGCAGATTTTCTATTTTTGGAGGATAAGGACAAGTTTTACTGTTGACTAGACAGTGTGTTGCGCCTGAATGGTTGTGCATATTGTTAGTATAACTGGAATGTTTTCATGGTACCCTTGACTGCTGAAGACTAATACATTAATAAATATTGATTTGTGTTAATAACCATTTTTTGTATAGACCATGAATACTCTAATTGGGCTTAAATGTGTATTAAATCCCAACTGTGCGAAGCTTTTATTATCGTATAATCAACATTGAAGCAGGTTTAATCAGCTCAGACAAATTTTTAAAAACTAAGCTCCTTTATTTGTCATGGTTTCTGCTACTGGTTGCTTCTTCACAGTTTCCAAACGACTTTTGTTCATGCTTATTAAAACAGATCTAATGTCTGTATTTTTTTTTTTGTGTGTGCAGATTTTACGTGACAAGTCCTTGTCAGGATGGTAAGTACACTGCTGTAAAGTGTGCCTGTAACAAGCTTAATTCGTCCTAATGTGTTCAAAACACTTTGGAATGTTGTTTTTAAAGAGATAATTTGCTTATAATGAGACTGGGTAGTCTAACTGGGACTTCAACTTTAGGTTCTGGGAAAGTTACAAATGAAAGCATAGCAGGTAATAAGATAATGGTTATTAATGTTGTTGTTGTTTTTAGTCTCGCAGATATGACTCTCGGACAACTATTTTCTCACCAGAAGGCAAGTATTTGTTTTTCTGTGAGGTTTGCTGTCTTTGTAGTTTAATTATTATTAATATGAAGACCACCGAAACTTTTTTGAAATATGTAGCCGAATGATACTGATGTGTGGAAACAGCTGTTACTTTTATTGTTTCTCTTTTCATTTTGCCTTTTAACTTTGAGCAGATGTGAAGGAGTTATAAAGAGAAGCATGTTACAAACCAGTCGGTTAAATTACGTGGCTTTTTTTGTGTTTACCATTGGGTCTTCCACAAACCAACGTTGACCATTTTAAACTAATGGGAAACAGAGTTTCCTCAATTTTCAGTTTGTAGTTGGATTGTCTTTCAAGTCTCCACATCTCCCTGCCTGATGAGCTGTGATTTTGTGGCAGGCCGTCTGTACCAGGTGGAGTATGCCATGGAAGCGATTGGGCACGCTGGCACTTGCCTTGGGATTTTGGCCAATGATGGTGTGTTGTTGGCTGCAGAGAGGCGAAACATTCACAAACTTCTAGATGAAGTGTTCTTCTCAGAGAAGATCTACAAGCTGAATGAGTGAGTTTTTTGTTTATTGTCTTTACCCAGAAAAATCTTGTTTACATGAATTCTTTGTATTCAGGTTTTACTACATCATTGTAGTTTCTGTCTACAAAACATGTTAAGCCCTTAAAAAATGTATTTGTAACAGAGGATTTATTTTAGAACCTAAGTTTTTCACATTTCTATGTACTGGAGTTTTTTCCAAGTGCTTGTTTGAAATGCAAGTGCTTGTATAGACAATTGCTTAGCAATCACACAGTCTGTCAAGTGAACAAGTCCCTTATAACCCCCCTTATCAGGTTTAAGAGCATTGTTGGTTTAATCTAATAAAACGTTTTTCTTATACGTTGCCCAGTTTGAGATTGCCAGTTGTTTTTTTAACTTAGCTGTCTGGTAACAGCTCCTGTACTCATACGGGATAAAATTAGACTAGCAGATAAGGTCCTCTCTCACCTGCAAATGATGTTGTCATTTTGACACACTACAGACTCCACACCAGATTCGAATGGAAGAAATGCTTCCTGTTTTCTGTCCTAAATACACTCGTGCTTACTTGTATTTATATTCTTTGGTCTTGGCTTTCTTGCTTGGATTGGCATAGTAAGATTTTCTTAGAGTCTGTAAGCATCAGTGATCTCCGGAGAGACTCCTGTTACTTGTTGAAGTGGATCTCTTAACCTTTCTATTTTTATCATAGGCAGGTGGATATGGTTGCAATTTATTGTTCTGTTTCTGAAACAATATTTACATAAATGTCATTCATTTCATTTTCTGTAAACTATTGTATTAATAGTTGCGTCGAGTAGTATAAAGAGACTTGGGAGCGATTGACTACTTTTCCGATTGCATTTTCTATTTCAAAGAAAAATTACATAAAAAATTACCTTTAAAGAACTGACGGATTGTTGAAAAAGTCAGATTTGAAGTTCCTTACACAACCTTAAAAGCTTATCCCCATGGTTGTCTTTTGCAGAGATATGGCGTGCAGTGTGGCTGGGATAACATCAGATGCCAACGTTCTGACCAATGAGCTGAGGCTAATAGCACAAAGGTAAGCTGATAAAATGTTAATGAGCTTTGTGGGTTGGTCTGTATCAGCTGTATTTTCCTCATTATTTGCTTAATGATGTGTTCCATGTCTTTCAATATACAGTATATTTTGTGTGGTTCTTTCATTTACACCTGGGGTATAAATTACTGTCTTCTGTCAGGTATTTGCTGCAGTACCAGGAACCAATCCCTTGTGAACAGTTGGTGACAGCACTGTGTGACATTAAGCAGGCCTACACGCAGTTTGGAGGTAAAGATCAAAGACATTACTTCCATATCAGCTCCCCTAAGCAGAAATAATCAAACTCTTTACAGCTACGTTTATAACATCCTAATTACATTTGTGCTATATTCATACATTCATTTTTCACAACTGTAGCTAGGAGCCTTTTTTCGTCTTTTGCAACATGCAATTTTTTTTGTCCCAAGTTAATGAAGTAGAATAGCTTAAACTGTCTGCATTTTCATTGTTATATTAAAATACTTAACTAAATAACTTCAGGGACGGTATTATTCCCTCTGTTCATGGTCTGAACATAGTTAAAACAGTAAGATTCACCAAGAACAAAGATGTTTTTCACATAGAAAGGAAAACGAAGATGCTTTTCCTCAAGGCAGAGCTTGCATATATTCCTAAAGTGCATTTCAATGCTTTCTTAACCAACATTTTCAACGACTGATTCCACATGATGAATGAACACTTGTTCAGTCTTATTCATTATCTACTGTATCTTTGAAACGGTAAGGTTGGTGGGAAGGCACTCTGAATTAGTAGATGTATTGTCAGGGATCACGTACATTACTGAATAAGATACACCCTTCTTTGTTATAGCCTCTGCTTTAACATAGATTTGTGTTGATTATTTAATTATTGCTATTGTCTCACTTGCATTTCATGTTTTCTCACTTTTTATGTTTTGTTTTATTATTCCTTTCCACACCTTTGAAGAAATTGTTACTCTAGATGTCATTTAAATTCAATTGTCATATATAATGATGCACAGAAGACTTTTTTTTGATGAAGCAATGTTCATCAGATTAAAGTGATGAAACCTGACAAACGTATAAGTGAATAAGCCACTGCTAATCACTGTGATCTTTTAGGTGTGTTATGTGGCCTGTAGTCCACTGTAGACTGGAGCTGTAGAAAGGCTGACAAACACTCAGGAGTTCAGATAGATAATTGTTTACCATTAAGAATGTTGTAAAATGTCTAGTTCATTCCCTGTTCTAACCCCTGTGTTCTGTGGGACAGGTAAGAGGCCTTTTGGGGTTTCGCTGCTCTACATGGGCTGGGACAAGCACTATGGCTTCCAGCTGTACCAGAGTGACCCCAGTGGAAACTATGGGGGATGGAAAGCCACCTGCATTGGCAACAACAGTGCTGTAAGTGTTTGCATTTTCAGCTCATAGGATATTTAATGTATGGATTTTTTTCTCATTCTTCCCTACAACTCTTTGGATTACATCTTATTTTCTTGCCATTTCTTTTTAGAGTATATTCTGCAATAGAACATACCTATCATAGTCTTAATGACTTTAAAGGGCATCGGGAAATGAAGTGAGGGAATCAGGTTTTGTTAAATACACAGTGCTTTCGCTGATGGGCTGCTGAATTTTACACCACAGTTCTTCACCACTCTCTTACCTTTCAGTTTTTTAGAAGCATTGTTTGCTGGGAAAGGTTACCCTAGTAGTGTACCACATGACCTGGCCATTTCCTGCGTTGCCCTTAGTTTTCTCCAATGGAGTCTCAACTTGCTTTATTAAAATCCTTTGTCATAAATGAGTAACTGTAAATACTACATGTTCTTCTGAAGTCCTCTCTAACAAAATGATAAATTGTCAATGTAAAGATCAGAAAGCTGTAAAGGAATTAACACATGCAATCTGTAGGTGCTGTTTTAACACCAGATGGCGCTTTATTGTGCAGTTAAGGTAACACTAGTGCTAAATAATTCAATTTTAGTACATAGAGTGAAACTGAATATGATTTCTTACTGTCATATCTAGGAATGCGATCTGTGGATTAAGCCTCAAATGATTGAAATACCGAATGTACAATATATACGTATCATTCTTAATTAGAGAACAAGTCAGTATATCATAGTCCTATAGTGTGGCATGACAAAGGCTGATTCGTGATTGTGTAGAGCAGTGGTTCTCAAACTTTTTGGACCAAGTACCACCCCTAATCCAACCAAAGCATCCAAGTACCACCTACAAGTCATCTTCTCATAGGAACCCCAGAAAGTCTCAATGACCAACATGAGCGCGCGTGCACACACACTCACACAAACATATAATAAATAATTTAATAATAAACTTTGTTTGATATATTAAAATGTGGCTTCTCAAAGTGTTTTACAGAAAAAAAACCAACAACAAATAAAAATAAAAAAGCACCATTTCAGTGAGAGGGGTGAGCCTTGATACAATTCACAACAGAGGCTTAACAGATTTTAAATTCTCAGTCATTTTCTTGACGTCCAAGGTCTCGCGGTGGATGTTGCAATGAAACCATTCATTTTTGGAGCAACCTCTCTAATTCGTGCAACTACACCGCTGTGTCGGCTTGTCATTGCTCTAGCACCGTCTGTACAAACTCCGACACATTTTATCCAGTCGATGCCATTCTCTTCGATAAATTCATTCAGAAGCTGAAATACATGCTCTCCTGTAGTTCCTGTTGGTAGCGGCTTACAGAACAGAACAGAAAGTCCTCACGGGACGTACCCTCAAACTCATATCTAACGTAAACGAGCAAATTGGCCAAATCAACTACAGACTCATCTAATTGCAGTGAAAAACATTTCAATAATTCTATGAATGACTGTGTCTTTCAGGGGGGGCAGCAGGTCGAGCTGTTCAGCAGCTTTTTCTCCACACATAATAGTGTGGGGCTTACCTGCTTTAGCAATCCGCAAGCGTGCATTTTTCCACGTTTCCGTTTTTATTTCAGTGTTTATTTTAAGTATTTATTTCATGCGCATGGGAGAGAAACACAGACGCTCTGTGTATTTTTCTCAAATTAACTTAGAACAGTTCTTAAATATTTTTCGGTTATTTTTCACGCTTTCCTGTGCTCACAAGATTACCAGCGTTCATAGCACGCATTTCTATGCATTCCTGTGTTTACAATGTTGGCATTGTTCCAAAATCACGCACATTCTCCTTTCTCCCTATTTGCTGGAGATACAGTAACTTTTTTAAATACAATTGGTCACTTGCGTCCCTAGCACGCATTCCTATAGAGTGGTAAAGAATTACAGAGTATCTCTTGTGTCCACTGAAGTATTAGCGCGCACTGTATCATAGTACGTAGGCTGCGTATTTGACACGTATAAAAATACAAAATATGAAAACCCGTCCCGATTTTTCTGCGCACACGACACAATTCCAGGGTCATTTGGCGTACCACCTGGCAGCACGCCACGTACCACTGCCGGTACGCGTACCACAGTTTGAGAACCACTGGTGTAGAGGGCTAAAAAGCAAAAGCAATGAGAGGCAGAGGCGAGAGTGCCTCCTGATGGGTTTGGATTTGAAAAGGTGTGTGGCATGCAGGGTGTGATCAGAAGCAAGTCATTAATCTTCAGTCCTTTTTTAAACTGTTTTGTAACTCTAAGGCTGAATTTGAAAGATTCCAAAATGTCCGTATCAGATAGATAGACTGCAGCAGAAATACTTTTTGTGAAAATCATGTTAATTTTTGTGTAAAAATATATTTATACACAAAATCAATTCTTGAATCTTCCTCATACAGCTTTGTTTATTAATATGAATTGCAAGTTTTTTTTATGCATTTAATCCTGAAATGTATAATAAAGAAAAACAAAATAATGGTAACTTACGTGCATGTCATCTTTATATCAAGATGAGTGCAGGTGTTAAAACCTTTCTGAATCCTTGTTTGCAGGTCTTCTTCCTTGCATGAATCAGATGTTCATCTGTATGAAAAAGAATCAGTGGTAAAGGTGGCTGCTGTCATGTTTTGCAGGCTGCTGTTTCCATGCTAAAGCAGGACTTCAAGGAAGGAGAGATGACATTACAGTCGGCCCTCGCTTTAGCGGTTAAAGTGCTAAACAAAACCATGGATGTGAGCAAGCTGTCTGCTGAGAAAGGTAAGGCCTGGACATGACCTGCGAACCACCTGCTAATTCCCAATAATGAAGGGAAAGAGGAGGACATCACCTTCCCCTTGAAACACTTTAAATTGCAAGTATAACTGTAACTCTAAATGGTATATTACAGGTTCTTAAAATCATTTTACTTAAAATATCTCTCATTTTACGTTATCCATAAAATCAAAATATTTAAGGATTTGTTATTGTTAAATAAATACTATTAATTCAACCATTTTCATTGTGAAGCATAACAGGTCCAAAAATCAGACAACTTCAGCATCCAGTGTATACTGTTCAGGAAATACCGAACATTTCCACTGGAGACTCATGTCGAATAATATATTTGAAACCGGTGAAGTCGTAGTTTAAAATATTGAATTGTGGAACACAAATGTATGCGTTTCACTTAAACCCCAAAAAAATCCCTTTACAGTAAATGGCAAGCTATGTAAGGAACCGTTCTTCAGGGCCGGATTTAAAATGAAAGAAAAGAAATGGGGAGAGAACAGAAAATCCGGACTGTGGCTTCCAGGAACAGGAGTAGGCAGCCATTGTTCTAGTGAACAGTGATAAGTTAGCAGATTAGACATTTGCATTTTGTATTTCAGACCATGTATTGGAAACCGTTTGTTAGAGTAGTTTACGGTCTGTGAGGTGTTGGTTTGCTGCCCGTGTTCACGCGGTGCTTTGTTCATGGGGTTTGTTACAGTTGAAATCGCGACGCTGACCAGGGAAAACGGCAAAACCAAGATCAAAGTCCTGAAGCTGAAGGAGGTGGAGGAGCTGATCAAGAAACATGAGGCAGAGGAGGCCAAAGCCGAGCGCGACAAGAAGGAGAAGGAACAGAAAGAGAAAGACAAGTGAACACCTGGTGCTTTGTGCTCTTTTCTACATTAACCAGATCTGTTTTACTAAAATACCACTTATCACGTCTTTTGTTTTTCTGTAAGATCTCAATACATGCAAACCAATTTTGACTCTTTCAGAGACTTTTTGTTTGTTTTCGCTGGCTTCTCATGTCTCTATTCTGCACCACCTAGTGTACATCCATGTTAGAAATCAAAATAAAGCCTTACCAGTCAGGACTGTGTAAGTTATATTAGGGTTGTCTTTAAAAGAACAGCTTTAAGCAAGGGTTCAACACATTTATTATGTGTTGAATAATAAATACCATCATCACTTAGTGAGGGGGGGAGGTTATACCTTAAAACTTGGTAGAACAGAAATCTTAGTGGTCTGAGTTCACCCTCAAATCCATCATATCAAGCAAGTGGATCTCATCATATCAAGCAAATATCTACAGTATTTTGTGTAATAAAGCTACAAAGGTAACTGAATCTTGGACTTAACACTATACCAGGTTAAATTGGGCAGTAGTATGGAGCAGTTTTGACTGGAAGGTTGTGGGTATGACTCCAAGATGAGATACTGCTCTTCCAGCCTTTTACTTCGCTCAAACTATTCCAGTTAAATAGCCAGCTGTGTAAATGCATGCAGATGTAAGTCACTTTGTGTAAAAGTGTGCAAAATAAGTAACAATTAGCTGAATGTTTCAGCAGCTTTTGGCAAACTTGACTTATCAGTATCAAGCTAGATAAGGTCTTTTTGGTGTATAAATACAGGGACAAAGCTTGTAGCTGACAATCCTTAAAGAGTTTAGGTAAGTCAGATTTGGAAGGATTAACCATTAATATTTTATAGGTTTTCATTTAGATTGTAACTATGAATTTGAAAGACTCCATGCCTGTGCACACAGACGGAATCTGCACAGTAATGCCATAATTCAAATTTGGTGACAGCTTGGGGGAAAATAGGTTATGTAAGGTGTGGAAAAGATTAGGGTCGCAATTAGGACCTGGAAGTTGTTGCCTATCAGACACTTTATTGGGTATGATGTCACCTACCATCCTGAAGAGCTCCAGTCATTTATATATTTGGTTTGACCTGGAGCCTATCCTTGAAAGCACTGGGTGCAAGAGGGTTACATCCTGGATGGGACACCAGTCCCTCAAGGGGCACAAACTTACACCAGGGCCATTTTTGTTCTGAAGCCATTAATCCTACTGGTATATCTTTGGACTGTGAGAGTCAACTCTAGTGAACGTGGGGAGAACATACAGATTCCACACAGATAGAGTAAAAGAAAAGAGTAGGGGTGTAACCCCGGCGTCCTGGCCACATTTCCCATTGGCCCTTACCAATCATGGCCTCCTAATCCTCATCTATGAACTGGCTTCATCCCTCTGTTCTCCTCCCCACTGAGAGCTGATGTGTAGTGAGCTTACTGGCGCACTATGGCTGCCGTCGCATCATCCAGGTGGATGATGCTGCACACTGGTGGTGGTGGAGGGGATCCCCAGTACCTGTAAAGCGCTTTGAGTGGAGTGTCCAGAAAAGTGCTATATAAGTGTAAGCTATTATTATTTTGTATTATAGCGCCCCAGTGCTGTGAGGCAGCAATGATGACTTCTGCACCACTGTGTTTAGCGATGTATATGCCACAAAGCAAAGCTCAAATACACAACTGAAAACTGCGGTGCAAGCATTAAACTCATTATCTGAGGGTCATTCAAATGTAGAATATTTATCTTTTTTGTAAAGCTCGATGTCCCTGTATGTCGGTCCTTTTTGCATTCGAAACCGGCTCAGATTGCGCAAATTCGTAGGCGCAGATGGACTGAGCTATAGACTCATACGCGCACTTGGCGTTTTGTGGCGCAATGTCACATTTAAAGAAACTTAATAGGATAAGATGTAGTCCACGAAAGACGCTATTGTGTCGTATTGAGGAATTTTCCTATCTTGAATATTCACCTAAAAGCGGTGTGTACATTCGTTTTTTTTAGAAATAATCCTATATCCTTCGATAGCCCTATAATTGTTATTTTGTGGCCACTTAAAATGTTTCCTAATCCTATTTCGGTTTTCCCTATGTATCAAATTGATCGAGCATTGGTCACTTGGTATCAAATTTGGAAAGTGGATGCAACATTCAGGGAAGTTCTAGATGTGTTCATTCCGCGCGCAGTATGCGGGTTTTTCTGCACACATTTGTTTTTAAAAAAAGGTATATAACCTTCACAGTCTGCGCCAAACATCACGTTGTTTTGTTATATACTGTAGCGTTTTCGAGTTCACGCAGCACAAAGGACAAGTGGAGACGAGATAGCGAAACGAACGACTGCTTTAATTCTCTCATTAAAACCAAAACAGGATTTACACACACATAAGGGGACCGACGGAACACGTACACAGGTTGAGGGTGGTAACTCGTTATCAGAAGAATATACACTTACAAAGCTCCACAGGACACTTACACTAATATAGCACTGTTTACATAAGCAGGGTCAGCTGCTGGTCATCGTGCTGACCCTCAGACTCCCCGCCTGCTTCGCGGTACCTCAGCGCCTGGGTGCGCTTCCGCCTCACCACCGGGCGGGGGCGCTACAATACTTTTCAATGTCTTCGATCTCGCCCAGCTTAGGTTTGTCTGTATGGGATAAGAACGTGACATGGATAGGTAAGTATCGACATTTGAAAAAGAACCAACTGCTTTGAATTATATTTTAGCGTGAACCTCAAAAGGAAAGTGAATTAATCATAAACCATCAAAGATGAGGTGCGAAGCTGCACTCGCCAGGAAAATATGACGTAACCTTAACGTGCTAAGTATTGTCGGACAGACGTGAAGGGCAAATTGAAGAAATGCTAAGTGCTCAAATTGTGGTTTCTTTTTAAAGGCGCAATTGGGAATTAAGTGCATTTTGCACGTCGACAGAGCAGGGTCTTAGAAAACAGACTGGAGTGTACTTGGTAATATCTTTAGTTTTACTCCGCGATAAAAAAAACAACGAAAAACAATCATCCAGCTCTTGTTCTGACGCATCATCTTGTCTTAACACGACAAGCTGTCTTCTGTAAGTACAGTCGAAGAAGCAGATGTTGCTGTGAAATTACATCAACTTGCATTCATAGGGATACATAAAGTTCACTAAGACCTATTTTTGTTTGTAACCTCTTTTAGTTTATGAAAAGCCGATATTTAAGTAAACTGGGAACATTTCTTTTTGCAGTATCACATTTTACCCCTTTCCTTACAAATAGCAATAAAGTAAGCACAATCAGAATGTAACTTGCATTGTTTAAACCTTCTAATTAATGCAGTACTGTCATTATGAGCTCCATTGTCAAAGTACCTGACCACAGTTGGAGCAGTCTCATGATCTTTTACCCATTGTTGGCGTAATGGCTCTCATGAAAATACACATCCAGTTTTCTGTCATTTTAAAAATTCCATGTTGTTACGGTGTTGGTGTTGAAATGGTTTCAGCTTGGTGAACATTTCTCCCACAGTAGATATTGGTGTTGGCTTTCTGTCCCTTGTTGAGTTCTAGTCTTTTGATTTTTTTTTTACAGCCACCATAATGTGTTTTTTGTTTCAACACAACTTTCTGAAGTTTCAGCTCCCTTTCAATTGTATTCTTTATTTTTTTATATGAATGTACACATTAACAGCAGAGATACTATTCAAGATTCATTTTCTAGATTTGGGTTTTTCTTTCCCTTGTCCCTGCTTTGTGTAAGGCTAGGCCAAAGGGTAAGCAACTGTATGAATTCTGTTCTGTAGTAAGTCTGTTCCTGCTCATCATTCATTATTGAGAAAATCCATGCTAAAGTATTGTATAACATTAAATATTGAATATAAAAATCCGACTATATAAAACAAGTAGTTTACATTTTAGGGGTGGTGGGGGGTGTTGTATATGAGCTATTGCACAACAGCCTACTTGGGGTTAAGACACCAGTGATGATCTTCAGCACAAGGAACCCATTAAGACTCAATACTGTACAGGTGACAGTGGTCTGAAGCGGGGGTCTCCTGCAGATCATGGAGGGCCTACCGTCTTCTGGTTTACAGTCCTACAGCATCAATTAACCCGTTTTCTCCAACCCAGAATGTTGTGTGTGTTCCGATTGCAAAAAGTGTGCAATGTGACCTTCCTGAATTTGTGATTTATTGATTGACTCATTTGGATAAATGCACTAGGGATTTTCAGAAAGATCATACCTGTACATGTAACAATACCACATGTACAGAGTGTAATGTTGCTGGTGTCAAGCTGATGATCCAATGTATGTTGTTTAGAGCATTTAATCAGCAGCTGTGGACGCTTTGTGGACAGTACGTTAGAGCTTCTTAATAACATCCTGTGTGCAAACGGGTTTTCTCCTTTTGTATTAATCTTCCATATTGCCATGCTGGTTAGCGTTTGCCAGTTGCATTTCTCGAATTGTCCAGTTAGACCTTAAGTGTGATCAAATGTATTGCAACTTCCTTTGTACTGGAATTCCTACAGACTGTGGTATGAGCTCCCAGAAAGCATGTTAAAACGATGGCATCTTCCACGTTTTTCACTTCACTCAGCTTTTTTCATGCATTTGCAGCACCTTCTTGCTATTGTTCCTAGCCTTTTATCAGGCACTATCACTGGTTTTTCATATTTTCTTTGCTTTATCTTCATGGAAGGGATTCCTAGATTACTGTGACAGGAACCGTGACCGATACAATTCAGTGTGGTTCACTCTTGTAGCATTGCAACACGGGACTCTTAAGAGGTTTTATAAATCTAAAATAAAAGACACAGAGTCAAGCATTAAAGTCAAACTTTAAACTTTATGTTAATTTCTAATATACATAAAATCCAAAAGTATGAGTATGGATTGCCCTTTTAGGATTTAAGTCCATATTTCCCTGTAAACAAAGATCTCTGAAAAGAAGGAAAATATAAGAATATAAGAATTTTCACAATGGAGCTCATAATGACAGTACTGCATTAATTAAATATAAGAATCTGAATAGAAACAAGTCTTAACAGTGTTGTAATATTCACTGCTCAGTTAAAAAGCTAAAGAAAATACAATCTCCCCCTACAAATAAGCAAACTAAATCCTCTTGTAGACATACAGACAAAATGTAATGCGAATTCTATGCCGTACTCCTTTTTGACTTGGTTGTGGTCTTCCGAGTTATCCAGGATAATTATGCTGGGGAATGTATAGCTGTATTTCATCTTGCTGGCTTTAGTTAGCTACTCCTGAAGTCAGGTGTGGGCCCAGAAGAAATCAGTCATTTAACCCACCACCTAGAAAACCCACTATTTTGTGATGGTATTGGGTTGAGTTTGAAATTTTCACATCGGCATTGTTGTTTTTATTTAATGCAGGCCTTGATGAGTAAGAGCATGCCAGAGTTTTAAGATCAGAAATAATGCAGAGGTTATTGGTTCAGATTATCTTGGATTGAGAACTGAAGTGCTAGTGTTAATGCAGACCAGATCTTTGGCAATGTCCTAAGGCTTCTGCAGGCCTGCAAAAGGATCAAAGTGTGGGAACACAACAATGTGTTGTATCACATTTAACACGGTATATAAATACATCTGAATATAACTTTTTTTGATATGATGCTGTCCTGTTATTTTTGGGGAAACCATACCCCATGGCCTGTGGGATAGCACAAGACTTTCACATACTGAGAGTGCAAGATATGATATCCCCAGCCTTCCATTTGGTATGAAGATGCCCTGTGTTCTGCCTTCACTCTTCCTCAGTGAGAAAAGGAGCACCAGTGAGTGAGATAGCACCCAGGCTTGCTTGAGCTGGTGATGAGCGGTCCTTATCCGGTAGAACTAACCCAAATGATGAAACACTAGCTAGCCTACACTCAGAGATTTGAAAAGGGTGGACCTTTTCAGTTTCTCCAAATGTTTGCACCCTTGCATCAGTACTTGCTTGACATATGATAATATGAAATTTCATTGTTTCAAAGTTACACAGCTCTGCCTATCGTATCCTATTGCTTTCTAGGTCCTTACTACATTTCTCAGATCTGAAGAAGCTGGCTTTGACAGTTCTTACTTTAGATGCAGCAAGAGATGCAATGGGCTAGGTAGTGGTAATGTGGTTCTCCATGCAGCAAGAGTATAGGTGACAAATGCCATAGCTGTCCATCCTTTTTCTGACTTAAAACTCCACTCTTTTTTTTTTTTACCCTTGAAAATCAGGCTGAAGGAACATTATGCTGCCTTATGCTAGTGTATTATCCTGTTATAGATGCTGCCAAATGCCAAATCCCAGGTGGCTTTGTAACCCCTCTTGTAAATAAATGATATATATGTATAATAGTTATAGAGAAAATATAAACTAAGATGAAGTAACTTCAACATAATAGGAGTGAAATTGTTTCCACTGAGTTTGTGAACAGAAATTCATGCTTTGTTGATGGTAGTTCAGTTTTGAACTACTATTAAAACAAGGGCCTATCTCAAAACGCACGGTTTCAATCAGATTATGAGGAAAGACTCTCTTTAATGTATTTTTCCCTTCTCACATAATCCGAGAACTCCGATATTCAGTGCAAAGCATTGGAGGTTACATAGTATTTTTAGCACCAGACGACCTACTTACGAGTATCCTGTTCTGTCTGCTAAGGGCTGCTTATTTAAAGAACCGAAAAAGAAAAGCAATTAATGAGATTGTGGATTGGTCTAAATTACCCCCCCACCCCCCTTCCCTGTGAATACTGCCGATTCTCCTGTCAGAGATGTCTGGGGAACTGATTGTATTTGCTGTCCTATACCTAAGATTTGCCTTGAGCTGTTTTTATTTGCACAGTGTTGCGATGTCCGATGTCTGAGTAGAAAAACAGCAGTGGGTCAAGTCATTCAAATAACCCAGATGGTTATGGAGAGCTATGGCCATGACTGGATGCCTTCATTCTTCATCAGAGGTGTTTTGATCCAGAGAGTAGACCATAAACATAATGTCTGGATGGGTGGGCACCAAGGGGTGGCCTGGTTTCACAATCTCAAAGCCCAGATAGTGGAAAGTCCTTGTGATAGGCACTGCAAGAGACAGTAAAATAAAGACAATAATTCACTACAGTGTCAGGCTATGATAATGAGAACCAAATTATGTAATTTATTGAAGAAACAACCATGTAATGAGAACAGTACAAGTTGTTTTAGAAACTGCAAACGAGAACGTTTGTAACATTAATGATTCTCCTTAGTTCCAAGGTTCTCAACTGACATTACAAGTGAATACGATTTCATGGCTCAAGCTTTCTTTATTGCAAAGGCAGAATACGGTACAGAATAAAAACACTTACATCGATCTTCCCTGCTTTTTTTAAACCACAGGAACACATAACTGACTTTCAGCTTCTCTTCAGCAAACTCCAGTAATGCGGTCAACCTGCCACAGAGAGACAGACAGAGCAGGAGTGAGAGAAATGACACACCAGTCTCCTAAAAAGAACACTTATCATAGCTATAGTTTCACCTTTCTTCAAACTCCTGTTCCTAAAACCATCCTCTTTGCCAGTATTCTAAACATACACTTGATCCAAAATCAGCAGTTGTGTGGCAGATACGAATTTAAGACCTCTTCCACAAACAATGTGTACCCTCACAACACACTGCATTGATACAGTAACTTTTTTATTTTTCTCCTGAAATGTTTTTCAGCTTTAGTATTTCAATGCTTAGCAAAAAACTGTTCTCCCACAGGAAAATGCAGAGATTTTCTGCAGTTCTTGTAGTGGCCAAAGAGAGGGATTCAAATTCCTCTTGACTAAACGGATATATAAACAAAAACCTTACATCTCTGACCGATCATTTATTCTTTCTGCTACTTAAAACAGTTTTAATATAATTGTCTACTGCTTTTGGTAATCCTGCTACACACATCTTGACTAGTATAAAAAATGAGTTACTCATGATGTACATTACAAAGGGATGGAGTTCAACAGACTGCAAAGGAACAGGTAAAGGTTTATTCCATGGAGGAAAGAAATCACATTTCGGCTGTGGAGCCTTCTTTGGTTTTTTTTTTTTATCTAATCACTACCTGAGCTGCACGTTTGCCTGGTCTTCTGTTCAAGAAGAAAGAGAAATGTAGCACAAACTTACCCCTCCTTACTTCCTTCTGGAAGTGCCCCATCTGCAATTTCTAGAAAGAGGCTGCCCCCAGAGAGGACGGCCTCCCAGCAGCAAACCCGCGTCTCCGTCAGCTGGTACTGGAAGTGGAGGAGAGGGGGTGTACCATTCACTGAAGCAGTCTGTGTTACTGTGAGCCTGTCGTCCTGGGGAAAGACGGAAGAAACCAAATACTATTGCTATCTTTACAGACCCATAGTGCTTTGAAGTTTTACTCAGTCAGCATTATCACCCTGCTTTCTGCACTTTACCTATATAAAAAAAAAATAATCTTCCTGTCCCATGCCATTAAGATTCTTTAAGAGGCTAGCAAATCATTTATTAACTGCATTCATGTTGTGCTTTTCATTTCAAAGGCTTCTTCAATAAAGCACTTAAACAGAGCCCCACGTCATACACTACAGGAGTGATTTGCTGCAACAGCTGAATTAAGGGAGAACCTCATGTAGGACAGACTGTGGAAGCGCCCAGTGGAATTCAGCCAGGACACTTCCTACTCCCCTGCGCTTGCAGGAATTCCTGTAGGCTCTTTAGCAAGGTTTTGTGTGAAATACAAAAAATGTGCATCCTGAGGGAAAATTGCCACCTACTGGTCTACAAACGCCACTCCCAGCAGTAAGCTTTTTCCTTGGTGGGACCCTCTCCCAGTACTTCTGAGGCCTAGCGAGGTATGGGCTAGCCTTTAAGGCAGCAAATTAAGTGAGCTGAACTAGAGGTCATTGCTATTAAGTACAGTTATATAACCTTTGTGCATAAATAAAAAAAGGCTGAAGTAGTTCAAGTAGGGAGCTGCGTCAGCATGCATAGGCTGCAAAGGAACAAGTAAAAGGTTTATTCCATGCTGAAAAGAAGAAAGGAAACAATTTCGTCTGTGGAGCCTTCTTCAGGTATGAGGGTCTGCTCACACCCGAAGAAGGCTCCACAGCCGAAAGGTTTCCTTTTTTCCCCCACCCTCTTTTCAGCATGGAATAAACCTTTACTTGTTCCTTTACATAAAAAATGGTAGAGGACTGGGTATTTTCAAATGGCTGCTTTTCTTGTATTTCACTGGAATGTAATAGTAAGATTTAAAAATGATTTTCTTTATTACACATAAAATAACATGATTATTCTTTTAAATCCTATTTTTCTTTCCACATTCTTAAGAGTAGCTGCTTTTGGTCATAAACCAGAAATGAGTGCAGAATAACATTTGCAGGTTGACAGACAATACCGGTGATACTTTTGAAGAGAATAGTACTGCTTTGATAGCCAGCTCTTTCAGGTGTGAGGATGATAATAGTCCAGATATTAATGATCTGTCTGATCCTAACCCGCTTAGCTCTAGGACTGTCTCGTACTTATTAACATTCATTAACAAGAGCAGGCAAGCAGACAAAGGTGACATTTCCAAACAAAACAGCCTTAATTAGCATTCATTTAACAGGAGATAACCCAGGTGGAAGCTTAGGTTCCTTTTAAATGCAAAATTGAGTCGTAAAATGGTGAACTCCGTTTCAACCACAAAATAGATAGCATTAACTATATATTTCCACTTCATTCCTGCTGGAAAGAGCTGTTAGCCGAAATATTCCTCTAAATTCTGTTCAGTTAAGGTGGATCTTTTTCTGCACTCAAGTAAAATCATCAGTGCTTCAATTAACATGGAGGATATAAAGAAGGACAACACGAGATGTTCTACATTTTGTAGAGCCAATAGAATAAAGAATATTTTGGCATATTGTGAACTGCCCTTAAATAGGTTGTAAAAAAAAAAATATCTTCATTCTGCTATTCTACACGTCTGGTAATACGACATTCTCTTGCATCTGGAAGTTAGTATGTACATAACTCCAAAACCTTGCCAAGAAGTCTCTGCTGAAGATTTGCCACTTTAAATGTGTTAATTTTTAATTCCATTTTCCCTGCTGAATGAAGAACTGTTTTACTACTTATTCATAAAAATAAAAAGCAATTCTGCTGACACTGACGACTTGTAAGGATTAGTGCTTGACAGTGAGAAATCCCAGGTTAAAGACATGAGGCACTTTGATCGGACGAGCCTGGTATGAAGTCATTCTGGGCCTTACCTTATGTAGGAGCACAGTGAGAGAGTGATCCCTGCCAGTCCCTCGCCCACCCGGGATCTTCAGTAGTGGGTGAGGGGCATCAGGAGCACCACAGAGGCCCTGGAGCCTGGTGCCTGGTGCAGTGAAGCTTGGAGCTCGTTAATGAAGTACTGCAGAGAGACACAAAGAAAGGGGGCTGTAAGCAACACATTACAGCAGCATGTTATAATCTAGAGATTCATGGACAGATTCAGAAATGCCCCAAGAGGTCTTGTTAAATTAAAGAAGATCAACTTAAGTAAAGAAAACAGTAGGAAGGACTTTTCCGAGGAAGTACCACGTTCCACTTCCTTTCCCCAATACAAGGATTAACAGGCCTTCAACTGCTCCACTAAAACTCCCATCTGCCTGGTCTACAGTGGCATGATCCCAGGACTTGACCTACACTGGATCTCCACATTCTGGCGGAGGCTCAGCTGCATGATTGTGCCCTCTGTGCAAAGTGATTCCCATAGTGCCTGTCCTCACTGAAGTACCCACTGATGAAGGGCACAGCTGGTGACCACTTGTCAAATATGTCTAGTTTTTTTATCTTGAGAGTGATGTCATGGCATCACTGTCATAATGCCACGACGGAACAAAGAGTTTGGTAAAGCTGAAACTTTCCATCACCTGGACTGCTGATGCTTTGTGTATTTTATTCATTTTGCTTTGTGCAATAAATCAAGTTAAAGTAAATAAATTACCTTCAACCACCATTAAACCAATCACTGCCATTTGACATGCCTACTTCGTAGGCACTCAGTTGGATTAGTTCCTTTGAGTACATCTTTTTAATCTACTTCTAAGTATCCATTATAACTGAGATGCTCATGACTCATATTGCCAAGCCTGCCAAATAGCCATGGTCATTTTGATGGAGCAGTTAGTGGCACTCTTCTGCCTAGAACAGAAAGTCCTAACTCATGTTAAACCACCCCACTATGGTGACCAGGGACATATTTCTGTAGGAGGTGCAGTCCTTCAGATAAGACAAGGTGCCAACTACTTTGACATTAAAGACCCCATGAAACTATTCAAAGGAGTGAGGGTGTGACCACCATTATAGACAAATTCCACCCTGAGCCCCAAGTATAGTCTACCCTTCATTTAACCAGTAAAGCAATATTTTGCTTCTATACCTGGGCTGCTGCTTGTGCATAATGGCTTTTGTGCATCACCCAGGTACAAGTTGCACATTAGCTGTAGATAAAGTGGACACCCTCCTATATGTAAAATGCTTCATAAAAGCAAGAAATTAAATATGAACCAAAATAGAAAAAGAAATTGGGTAACAGCACAATGGACATATTTGACAGAAATATGTATCTTACATGCACCTACCTACATTTTTTAAGATTCAATCAAGGTGTCGAATCTGGCTTTCCCATGCTACTGTCTGCATTTGCTTGCATGGCTTGTGAACTTGTGCTACAGCTTTAAAAATACAGAGGATGTGACGTTCTGGAGGACAGCCAGAGGTGGGTGTTTGCATCACAAATAATCACCTGATCATGTCTGTTCTGTAAACACAGCCACAAATAGCACAGTGGTTGAGAGCACAAGTCTGGCTCTCAGGTTACAGTGCAGAGGTTTTTGTCTATTGCAGCACTCAGAAGCGCAATCCTCCCTTTCATTTGCAAGATAAGCTAATTGCGTCTCTCTTCGTGCAGCTACCGGCGTCCAGATACATTTGCTCTTTAAATTCCAGAAGTCCCTTTTGATTGTTAAGTTTCATATTCAGGGCAGGTTGATGCAACCTTCAGCAACAGTGATGACAGACCAAATTCCTAGCTCTAGGATTTCCTGGTTGGCTGATGGACAGTAGTTTTAATTTGAATGCAAGAAGCAAAAGTGGAAAAAGGTAAAACTACGACAAATCTGGGAAGAAAAACTTCAGCTTTTTATCCCTCATCATGAATAAAAACACTGTGCATTTATGGATGAGTAACAACCCTGGATGAGGCCAGATGGCATTGCAAACCGCCATTATAATTACTGTACTGCATTAATTTTACAAATCTGTTCCATATTCACAATGTTGTAGAGGTCCTTGTTAAAGGACAACAGTACAAAGTAGATATCTACTACTGAACGGTTTCACATACCTTAAACATCTCCAGCTAAACACCAGCAAGACCAAAGAAATGGTCATGGACTTTGGAGGAATAAGGCCATCTTCTACGCTGTTGTGCGCTGGGGCAGCAGCATCATGACATGAGATGCAAATAGGCTCAAGAAACTTGTCAAGAAGGCTGGCTCTGTGTTGGGGATGAGCCTTGACCCCCTGGAGCTGGTGGCTGAGAGGAGAATGCTGACCAAGCTCACAGCCATCATGAACAACACCTCTCATCCGCTTCATGGGACTGTTACTGGGCAGCGGAGCAATTTTAGCAACAGACTGCTCCGGCTACGATGTTCAAGGGAACATTTCCGCAGGTCTTTCCTCCCGGCGGCTATCAACGTGTATAACGCTGCCCTAAGCTAGGACCGTTAGCCCTTCATGTGCTCGTCTATGGACAGCATGTTGCTCCATTATACTTTTGGATAATCAATCTGTGTCACTGACTACATGAACTTCTGCGTAGACAACACCATCCCTACCATAGAAGTACACTCCTTTTCCCAATAACAAACCCTGGATCACCAGCGACTTTAAGGCTCTTCTGAATGAAGAGAAGAGAGCCTTTAGGAGGGGGGATAAGGAAGAGGTCAAGCGTGTACAGAGGGAACTAAAGCAGAAGTTAAGAGAGCAAGGACGCCTCCAGGAGGAAGGTAGAGGACAAGCTGCAAAGGAATAAGGTGAGGGATGTATGGAGCAGCATGAGAGAGATCACTGGCTTCAAACAGGCTGGGGGTGCAACAGAGGGGAACCTGGAGATGGCCAATGAGTTAAACCAGTTTTTTGACAGGTTTGATTCAGGGCCCTCTGTGGCACCCATCCTCACCCATCCTCCCACAGCCACACGCTCCCTAACCCTTCACAGCTGCGACTGCCCAACACCTCCTCCATCCCCCCCACAATCATGGCCGCCTACAGCTACAACCCCCGACAGGTACTCACCCTCCCATCCCCCACATCTGCCACTCTCCAACACCTCCGCCATTAACACCTGCAGCACTGAACGAGCTATGAGCACCATCCCCCAGGCCAGGCTGACCAGGTGAAGAGGGAGCTGAAAAAGCTGCACCAGGGTAAGGCCACAGGACCAGACATCTGTCCCAGAGTTCTTAGGGCTTGTGATGATCAGCTGAGTGGAGTGCTCCAGCAACTGTTCAACCTGAGCCTGCGCTTGGAGAAAGTCCCTGTGCTCTGGAAGACATCATGCCTGGTCCCAGTACCAAAGAAAGGGTGCCCCTCTGTCCTCAATGACTACAGACCAGTTGCACTGACTTCTCACGTCATGAAGACACTGGAGAGGCTGGTCTTATCCCACCTGAAACCCCTGGTTAGCTCATCACTGGACACCCTACAGTTCGCCTACCAGCCCAGTGTTGGTGTGGAGGATGCAATCATCTACATGCTGCAAAAAGCCTACTCACACCTGGACAGGGCTGGCAACACCATAAGGATTATGTTTTTCGACTTCTCCAGTGCCTTCAATACCATCCAGCCCTTACTTCTAAGGAGGAAGCTGAAGGAGATGCAAGTCGATGCCTCCATGATCTTATGGATCACCGACTACCTGACAGGCAGACCACAGTCTGTGAGACTTCAAAACTGTGTCTGAACAGGTAGTAAGTAACACAGGGGCTCCTCAGGGGACAGTTCTTTCTCCGTTCCTCTTCACCCTCTATACCTCAGACTTTAAACACAACTCAGTCATGCCACCTGCAGAAGTTCTCAGATGACTCTGCAATTGTGGGATGTATCAAGGGTGGGCAGGAGGAAGAGTACAGAGGACTGGTCAGCAGCTTTGTGGAGTGGTGTGGGGAGAACCACCTGCAATTGAATGTAGCAAAGACTAGGGAGTTGGTGATAGACTTCAGGAGGAAGAGGGTCCAACCTACTACGGTCTACATCCATGGGAGTGGCGTGGAAATGGTGGACTCGTACAAGTACCTGGGAGTGCACATCGACGTTAGACTGGAATGGTCTAAGAACATCGAGGCCATTTACAAGAAGGGTCAGAGCCAACTTTACTTCTTGAGGAGGCTCAGGTCCTTCAATGCATGTAGTAAGATGCTACATATGTTCTATCAGTCGGTTGTGGCGAGCGCCATTTTCTACGTGGTGGTATGCTGGGGCTCTGGGATTAGAGCAGTGGATTCCAACAGGCTGAACAAGCTCATCAGGAGAGCAAGCTCAGTCATTGGGTCAGTGGGATTTGAGTATCATCTGTAAAAACCAGATATTTAAATGTCCTTTTCTCAAAAGGAATTATGAACATAGGTGCTTAGTGAATTGAATCAATTTTAAATGTTTCTGTGATTGCTACAAAACCTTAACGTATGTGGCCTTGGAATAAAGAAATGTTTTCGCTTTCACCCAGTACAAAAAACACTTAACTGCTGGGGTGTGGGAATCCTGATCCAGGTCTTCATAAATTATCAGTATGCATTTATTAAAATGCAGAAAAGAATGAGATAATACAGTAAGAACATTTAAGACTTCAGATTGTTAAATAAACCCTTAGTGACCTTATACTATTTTTTTTGCACTCTTTTGTCAGTAAATCTTACTAAATAAGCATTTTGCACTTCAGGTCTTCAGTACTGGAGTCAAGGTCATTTTCAAGCAAGCATCTTTTATAGCTCAATATTCTTTTTGCTCTGCATTACCAAGGCAAAGGTGGTACTGCAGGACATCTGCAAAGACTTCAAATGAAATGCCACCTTGTTTTGTAAAGCAAAACCAAGGACCTCTGACATTCCCAGCGCCCTGGCTGTGTTATTCTTATCCGGGCCGATCCAGTTCTCCAGCAGCCCCCCTCGGAATGCGAGCTCATTCCGAGGGGGACTTGGGCAGACCCCACTCCTACAGGGTCAGGCTGTGGCTTTTAAACAGAGAAGCAGTGGGGGAATTAGGTCAGGGCACATAACATTTAAGGGTGTAAATATCCCCTTGTGAACATGATCCCAGCATTCAATTTAGCTCAGAAGATGAAAAGCTACAGAGAGTTAGAATGTATTTTGAACCTGACAATAATATTGACTGGTATCAAT